GCTCTCAATCCCTTCCTCCCCCAGTCTGTGTTGATACCGGGAGTTGCCCCAACCCAGGCGCAGGACCCTGCACTTGGCCTTGTTGAACCTCATGAGGTTCACAGGGGCCACTTCTCGAGCTTGTCCAGGCCCCTCTGGATGTCGTCCTGTCCTTCAGGCGTGTCGACTGCACCACTCAGCTTGGTGTCATCTGCAAACTTGCTGAGGGTGCACTTGATCCGACTGCCTGTGTCATTGATGAAGGTACTAAATGGTACTGGAGATATTAAACAGTACTGGGCATATCACACATGGCACCAGTTCAAGCAGAAAATGAAATGGCAAAACATACCTGGTGATTCAGAGTATAAAGACACAACAGGTCAAGGATTGTGAGGGAAACTTCTGTAGCAATGTTTGCCTCTGTGTCTACATACTGTACAATGTCCGTTTCATTGGAGCTGCCTTCAACATATAAAAAGCAAAATGACAATCAATCTTCTGAGTGTAAAGATGATGTAATTCTGCAATCCGGTCATTAAGTCTCAGCACATTAGAGATGGGGTCCTAACTGTACATTTAACCGAAGGGCTATTTTGAACAAAACTGCTCACAGGAGATGAAAGGGGAGGGAATTTGAGTCAACTTTTACCAGCTGCACCAGTGATGTGAGTATATTCTTTCATTGTTTCCGTTCATCCTCAAAGGAGGAGAGAAGCCTAATTGGAAAGTGGCATAGATGACTTTGATCTCATCATTTAAAGAACATTCTGTCATGAAAAGGTCACTTCTACTGCTAGATCTAATAAATGTAATATTTCAGCCAGTGTACATCTGCTTGTACAGCAAGGTACATAACCATAGATGCAAGAGATGCTGGGAAGGGGGGAACAACTTGTCATTAAGGCTATTTAAATATGTCAGGTTATTGTAATTAATTTTGTTTCTAAATGACCTTTGACCAAATCTAAGCTCAGATTTCTTAGTCTCCTGAAAAAAAGGCAGAGTCAACAGCTCTCTTTATGTTTAGCTCTTCTCTTCAGGCTGTCTTTCACTGGCACTCATGAAAACAGATTTAATTGTATAGAGTCTGATCCAAAACCCACAGAATTCCAGAGGGAAGTAAATAATTTTTTGTACTTACTTGCAGTGCTGCTGTCTATCATCTGCAAGAGTTTGGGGTTAGAAAGTGCATTTTTGCCACGAATTATTGGTAATGTTTGAGATCTGTGATGCTTGTGGCCATCATGACTAGAAGTGGAATGCATCCTGAAATTGAAAGGTACCATTAAAAAACAGAAACAAAGAAGAAACTATCATGCCTATACAGAATTTTTCCACATCAGTTAGAATTTTCTGCAGTACTTCTCAAAGGCTAAGTTAAACAAACTGATGCAAAATTTTTCAGAGAAACAAAGATGAAGAAGAAAGTCAGTGAGGTGGACAAAACAAACAGATGTGCTGTGATTTCTTAAGATCACAGGAGACAAAACACTCATTGAGCACTGAAAAAAAAGCATCAGTTTAAATAGCTGGCTGATGTTTAGAAAACTGCCTTTAGGTGAAAAGAAACTGAGATGAGTTCTGTTAACTCAGAATACAAGAAAAATGTATCCTGCTTATGCTAGAACTAATACAGCTTCTATGAGGGGAAAAAAAATGATGACAAACTGACAATGACAGTAAAAATATGTGCATGCATATGTGTGTGTTCTTTTAACCCTCTTTGATGCTGACAAACACATCATTAATTTATAATGAGAATCTTAGAACTAAAATACCAATGCTTATCATAATTTTTGAAAGGATTTTGAATTTGTAACCACTATAGAATTCAGCAAGATTTAACACCTCTCAAAATTCAGGTCACTTACTAAAATACACTTTTATTTAATTTCTTTTAAAAATGTAGCTTCCTCAATGTGCATAATTTAAAAATATTCTAGGACAGAATTACTTCTTGCACCTAGCTAAACCCTCTACTATGTTTTTGTTGGTTATTTTAAAAAAAAAAAATTAGAAAATTAACATTTCATTTTTAAAAAAAGAAAAAGTTCCCAACACAAGTACAGAATTGATGGCCAGACTTTTGCCAATCAATGTGATAAAGTCTTCCATTAATGGTCACAGTGAAAGGATTTGGGTGGACATCCTAGCAAACTAATGGATTTGGAACATGTGGAAATTTGATCTCAAGGGGTTTTTTTTGTGGTGTTTGGTGGGGTTTTTTTGGTTTTGTATTTTTTGTTTGTTTGGTTTTTTGGCGTAGGGGGTGGAAAGTCTGGTTTCATATGAACATTTCAGCAAACTGAAATACATAAATGTAAGTGCAAGTTAGAGCTGATCACCAGCAATACTTCAACCCTCAACTCATCATCAAAAAATGCTCTGTATTACAACAGGCCAAACAACCATTTGGACAACAAATGCTGATCTGTGAGGGGGTAAAGTGTGAAGGCCCTGGAGACAGCAGAAATGTGACTTTATTTTCTGGATTGCCACCATTGGTTCATCTGCCAACGTGCAACAAAACAACAGTCTCCTAAAGACTGCTTGCCAGTTCCAGCTGGGGTAATGAAATCAGTGCTGCTTCTTGAAAATGGCACCGCAGAGGAACAAAGAAAGAACTATGGCAGAGAAAGCATCTTTTTTCCCCTTTGTTCCATTCCAAGATTCACACAACGGTGAGCGTATTCTAGCTATACGTAAATGAGAAGAGGCAATGATCCAAGCTCATGAGGAAGGGGGACTTTCTCACCATGCTCTTAGATACAACCACAAGCTGCACAGAGTCAAAAGTTTGCTTTCTCTCTAGAGTTTTACATTATTAACATGAAAAGGATCCCACTTTCCCCTAAAAGGATCAAAAAGATTATTAAAGCTGCACCTGCAGCTTATTACCATGCAGTCCATGAAAATTATTAAATCTTGCAATGTTTAGACTAGGAACATGGAGGGAAAAAAGATTAGGAAAGAAAGATTCTCTGATTGGCAACATGGACATAACAGTATAGGACTATACTGCACTTAGCAGCATGGAAGTAAAAAGATAGGTGTCAAGCAAATCCACTCTTAAGTTTGGCTTTGTGTTGCTAGATACTTCCCCCGCCACAACCCTGGGTTATTGGGGAGAAACAAATCCCCTCAACACTGTAAGTGCATCCATAGATATTTACCCCTGAAGCAGTAAGATTCCATGAAAGCATAAGGTTGCAGACCTATGAATTCCTTCAGGTTGGGGAAAACTGTAGATTATCTTTCAGATAGGGATCTCACCTGAAAACAGCAACTACTGTTTCTGCAATACTTAACAATATTGACAGTAACTAAGGATTCTTCTGAACATAACATTTTAAACAACAGCTTATAAGTCAAGTTGAAGTTAAAGGGACTCAATTCTTTTACGGTTTATGGCTTTGGGGGCTCTGAAACGTGTTACATGTTGTGTCAAGCTCTTTTCAGTCAACACTGTGACAGTATACAAGGGCTGGAGGATGACAACAAAGATTGTGGTTTTATAGGAGTTAATAATACAACATATCATTACCATTGTGAGAGCAGACCCGATGCCTGGCCAGAGGAGTTCGAACCTTTCAGGGTTCCATTATTCTGAGTGGCCTGAACAAACTTAAAAGCAGCAGCAATTTTCCTGTTAAGAGAAAATATCTGTTAATCTATTATGGAACGTGACACTGATTTTGCCATGCCTCTGAAGAATAAATACAAGCCTGACAAAACCTGCCATGGAGCATGAACTGGTTCATCTGGTGACCTTTCGTTTTCCCACAGTATGACATATAGACAAGTTCACAGTGGTAATATTAAATTAAAAATGAAACATCAACTGAGACAAAGTGTGCATTTCACATTTCACAGCTGGAACATGATGTCATGCTTTTTCAGAGAGTGGGTAGAGACAGAAGATTTTTTTTTTTATTGCTGTGGAATGTTTATCTATGCCCATTAAAACTATTCTTTCCATTATATGGATGGAAAATACAGTGTTCAAGTTCCTTTGTTTGGCATATGCACAGAAATATGGTTGAGAATGGCCCAGTATTTTGGGTTATAAATGCAACAGTAGTTACCATATCATCACATGCAATTCATCTTTTACACCAGGTATGTACTCAGATGTCCAAAACATCACAATAACATTGTTTGCATAAAAGAAAAAATGAAGCATACATTGGCTTCAGTATGTCAGACTGATGCTTTCAGGAGAAAACTGGTAGATACACTGCTAACTTCATTTAAGCTTAACGTAATGCAGTAATATTTAAATACTGTAACATACAGTCTATAACTAGAGAATTACCTTACAATATTGCGTTTTCCTAGATATCTGAAATTTTGCAGACAAACCCTGAAAGATAAAACAACACATTTTATGTCTATTAATTACTTCCTAATTACAAAAAAATGCTGAATCTTAGTGCTTCGAAGAGACCTGTGGCATATGCACCTCCTAGTAAGCAAACAGAATAGAATACAGCAGTTCCAAGCCTAGGGATGCACAAGATGTGGCACCACCTCCCATACCCCTGTTCCCTTTCTCCATGGTTGAAGATTCCTGATTGGTGAGGAGGCAAAGTCAAAGGCATAGAGCTGGCTGCAAAAGCATTGCTTCTTCACCAGTTGAAGTTAAATAACTCACATTTCACTTAAGAGACTGTGAGGAAATTCTGAAAACAGCTACCTGCATGGATTCTGCAGACATGCATAGATAGGATTGAGCAAACCACCTTGGAGATGTAATCCTACATTACATGGCTTTTCTTAGGGTTTGGAAGTTTTGGGGAGCTAAATACTTTTCTTTTCTCAAGCGAAGAATAGAATCTCAACCCCAAACGGGGAAAATACTAGGAAAGTCTCTGTTAGGAGGAACACGCAAAGCATTATGCCCCCCGTTCATGGAAATGACCTACATATTGGAGGATATGGATTTTATTAGTAATGTCTGATTATGGCTTCGGAAGATTACGGCAAAATAATCTAAGATACAAGAGCTATCTCAGCCTATTCCACTAGGTGGACAAACCCAAAGAGAAATTATTTGCAGCAGCCACTTTAGAACATCATCATTTAACATAAAATCAACCAATCACAAAGTGAACTTACTCTAAAATGCTGAAAAAATCTGTTATTTCTGAGAATGGTGCTCGCAACCAGTAGGAAATCAGTGCGTCTGAAGGGAGATATTAAAATAGATTATGTATCTGTTACAGGGAATTAAACTTGACCCAAAGCCTTTAAAATACACTGATAATTATTCTAATATAATGTTTGTTTGGATTCAGCATTCACAATATTTTACAACAACGTAAATTAGGTAGTGAGGGGCACATTTTCTTACCTTCCGAAATGGTTTTCATAATGTGAAGGAAACACATAAGAAGGCTTCTAGTTTCAGCTTGATCCAACTTATCAAAACGAAGAGTTGATCCAATCAAAGACAAAGGTCTCATGATCTGTTGAATTGACAGCAAAGGGCCTTGTTAAGTATAGTGACACGTTTCCACCTCTAGCAACCGTTTTCAACATTTGCACATGTACCTTTTCACACGTGTCAGTTCTCTCACTGTTTTTTTCATTGGTACTTGGGTTAGATTCAAGGCTTGCTAAGGAAGCTCTGGAGTCAGCATGGTTTGCTGCAGAGATAGCTATTGATGAAAAGGCTGTAAATGAAAGTCATAGCAAACATGCTAAACTAAAACATTTATGGATACAAAAACTAACAAGAAAAATGGAAAACTTAAAATGTGTCACATGCTGGACTGACACCAGTGCTTTGAACTTCCAATAGCAAAGCTATTGATGGGTACGTTTAGTAGTGAAAACATGCAACAAGTTGAAGTAAAATGATTCAGTTTGCCGTTATTCATGGCATTAAAATGGCCTGTTAAATTCCGTAAGGCCTGACCTAAAGCCACAAAAATCAGCGGAAAGATGCCCATGCACTTCCCTGAATTGTGAAATGGGGTTTGGAGGAAGTGAACAAAACAAGTTGTGTTTCTACCCTTCCATTAAGCCTGGAAAAACTAAAAATACTTGCCTCCAAGAGACTTCAGGAGTTTTCAGGAGAAACCTTGGAACTATTCTTGTCAGAATAGGCAGAGACTACAAAAATGAACTCAGGCACAGGGATTTGTGAGAGCCTGAATACTCGCATCGTTCCAAAGCAGGAGAGTAAGTGAAGCAGTGGAAGAGGAGCGGCTTCACAAGAGAAATAAAAATCAATCCAAAAACACCCAAAGGGAAGAGAAACAGTGCATACCATGTTTCCCTGAATATCATATAAAATGGGTTAATGATATCTTCCATGAATACTAAGCAGAAAGCACGATGGATTGAGATATACAGAAATCTACCTGTATGCGTGTTCAATCTGTCATATATACCTGCTATAGAGTTCAGAACATCTTTGGAAAAGGACGTGTCCACGGAGTTTGCATGTTTCATTGCTGTCTGGCTCTGAAATCCTCCGGCTGTGCTCAAGTCATCCCTAGATCCCTGTATTTTGAAAGAAACAGAACAAACTCCAGTAAATGATATCACTCATAACTTTCATAATGACAGCACATCTGATAGGCTTTTCTTAGACACTGAGCTTGAAAACCTACTTTCAGTTGTTTAGACATGACAGCCTTAAAAGATCAAGGCTTGCCATAATAAGCTGAATAGTTACCTGCAATATGAAACACTCTGATAATTGAAGTTGTAAAGGATAGATCAAGTCTAACTGTGTTTGCTTCTTAAACACTAGCACAGCATTGGGAAAGGAGCATTAACTGCTGTTAGCAATGATCAGATGAAACAGGCTCATTTGCTGGAAGGACTGAAAGACAATACCCCTGCAGAAATCTGTTTTTAGTTCTTAAAGCAGGGCTATGATTACAACACATCTAATCTTTTAAGAAATAAACAAACGTGCTCGTCCAAATGCGCAGTTTATACAGATATTTTCTGTGGTGGTAAAGCTGTTTTATGATGTTTCTGTACCCCTTCCCTCCTTCAGTTACTTGTTTGCATTCCCTCTGCCTCCTGGTATGTTGTACCAGTGAAACTGCTCGTAGGTTCGTGACGTAACCCTGCAAAGAACCTGTGGGCAATGGGAGTTTTTGTTTACCACAATGTCTCCCAGCCCCCTGCCAAGGGACCTGCCTGAGTACAGGGTCCTCAGCCCCCAGCCTGTGGCACCGGGGCAGACGTACCGGTCAGACTGGCTGGGGCTGCAAACCTCTAACTGAGTTTCCAGCCCCAGGACAGCCAGCATCCTGGGTCTGTTCCAGACCCACAGTTTGTACACTGCCAGTATAGACTCCCGGGGTCCTGCAAGGGCTCTGAGCAACCTGCTTTAGTTGAAGATGTCCCTCCCCACAGCAGGGGGGTTGGACTAGATGACCTTTAAAGGTCCCTTCCAATCCAAACTATTCTATGATTCTAAATCAAGACCTTCCAAATTAAACATTGCGGGTGCAAACAAATCAGCATTTTCAGAACTGCATTTCGTTAGCTAATTTGTGACCAGCATAAAGTTGGACCTCTTCCCACCAGATTGACTGGGTCAGACCTCAGTTTGATTGTTTCAGTGTTCTGAAAAATCACATGAATTACCTGATTGGAAGTATTGATATTGAAAAGGAACATATCCTTCATGTAAATCCTTGGCATATTGTCCAAAAGCATTCCATAGAGTGGCATGTACAGGTTTGCTATTTGTGCCTGTTTTGCCTAAAAAAATAAAGGACACAACATAATACTGAAGAAACTAATTAACGTACACTAGTGGCTAAGGAAGTTTCATGTATGTTTAGCTACTGTACGAACAAGCAAATGAAAAAGAATAAACAAACAGTTTCTTTACCGGCTCTGCGTATCGATCATCAAATGAATGCTTTGCCATTAAGTTTTTAAGCACAGCCAAAGCTAAGTGCCTAATATCCTGGTCCTCTTGCAAGGCAAAACCAACCTCCCGCAGCAGGACTCCAATTAGAAAATGTTTACGGCAAAATTCGTTGGTCAATGTGTACTCTGGAATATCTTGGAACAGAATGGACAAGAATGCTTAAATTAATATATAGGTTACATAACCCCCTCTCCCATTTTCCAAATTTTCAATAACTTCTATTGATTTAATCCACTGTTAAACCTTGATTTCCTGATCTGACTGCCCCATTCTGCTCCCTCACTTGCTAGAATGAATTAATCTAATATTATTTCTCAAAATCATGCAGTTTCTACAATTTAATAATAAAAGAAAATTTATATACACATTCCCATGTGAGAATCTCAAATGTTTTGCACATAATAAGACTATTCATTTCTTTGAGGCATAGAGTCCAAATTGTTGTTCCGATATTCTAGCTAGAAGAGTTCTAAAACACAGAGATGCAGACCAACTCCACTTTTGAAAATGGTAAATAATTTTTGCCTAAATTTGCCACAGTTCTGTGGCAGCGGTCAAAGTAAATCTTAAAGCTCTCGATGCACAATTCTGCTTACTTCTTATGCAGTCATTTTGTTCATACCTGATGTTCGATATTCCTGTGTTGATTCCGAAGGCGTCACAGGGTCTTCATTTTTCAAAAATATAAAACAAAAATAGGCAAAGATCATGCATATTTTTTACTTATTGAGTGTAAAAAATGTATTTGCTTTATTTTTTTTTTTTTGACTCAAATTTGAATGAAACAGCTTCTACAGTTAAAGAAAGCCATTAGTGTCAGAACTGAACTCACTTTTTGGTGCTGAAAACCGAAGCAAAAAGGAGACAAGGGTCCATAGTTTGAGAGATGCTGCATAGAGAGATGATTCTGCCTTCCACTCTCAGCAACTTAAAGGACCACATATCCCAAGTGAACTCCCCAGAGTCCATGGAAAACTGTCAGAACTGGGAATTGTGCCCAGGGCTGAAATCCCATTGCCTTTGAAACCAAGAGGAAAAGCACCCAGTACTGGGCATTGGCCACAAAATTAGGTTCAAAATAACAGCTTTCAATGCATGAGATGGAACGCACTGTGGCCGCTGGCTTTGGGGCATGAGCAGGGTGGATGCACTCCTGTGGTAAAGCATAAGCAAAACCTGTTCATGCTTCTCTGCAAAACATGGGTTACACACAGTATCCCCTGCCTTGAGAAGCAGCTCAGGAGGCATTACTAACAGATTCTGAAATGGGCCTCTCTTGCCTCTCTGCTCCAGGTAAAATACTGCAGTATGTGGTGACCATGTAAAGTTCAGGCTTGCCAGAGACCAAGGAAGTATATGCACTTGGGAGAAAAGGAATATTGCATGGGACCTGCCTGCCAGTCCTAGAGATACTCTGGAGGCAAAAGTATCAACGGCCTATTATCTGAGAGATGGATGTTTCCAAACTCCTGCTGCATTTCCAGCTCAGATCTTCCCCACAAAGGAGGGTCTGTCACATGGACAAGTCATACTCCCAACAGCAGCAGGAAAGCCTGTTACCAAATAGTAGAGTTTCACAATGCCCTTATCACTGCCTCAGCTTCTTCCCCTTCCTGCTGTACCTGTTCAACCCCTTCCCTAGCTCATGACCTTCCAAGGCTACTGCAGCTTTAGTAATTAGTCCTCACAAATAATCCAGTTCATTCACCTCAAAACTTCCAGCAAGAGAGTCATCTTCCACTGCCTAACTGGGCTGTCAGGGGTTGCATTTATTTACAGGCATACTAAAATGATGTTATTTTTATCAGACTGCTTAAGTACCACACCTGAAAAGCCATTTGGGGCTTCTGTGCCTGATGTGCAGACATGATACTTCAGAGTTAATTTTTATCTGCTCTTTGAACCTCCTGATAATTTGCTGTCATACAGAAACCCTTTCGGGGCGGTGCCTTACCAGGAATGTTTGAAGACCGTATGGGCAGGCACAGAGGGATAAAGTGCTCATGGTGACAGACTTCTTGGAGAAAGTCAAATTTGAACTGATGTAAAGTCTGAAAATCACAACAGACAATGGCTCAGTTCACATTAAAACAGGGGAAACGGTAACACAAAGCTGCACTACTATTTATCTCCACCTCAAAATCCATACTCACACCCAACAATGAAACCTTGCAGCTTGTTATGCCAAGCTGCATGAATAATAAACATTTGGTTTTCGTTTCTGTTATCAAGCAAACTTGTCAGAGTCAAACAAGCTTTTCAGATTCCTCACTATGATTTTTCACTGAAGATGTACTGATATTTAGCTTGATCCAAGCTAAATATTTAAGGTATATTTAAAGCTACACTGGGTCTTTTGATGGTATATACTATAGCATATAATCATAGCAAAGTATCTTCTCCAGTTCACATAAATTTGGGACCATCATAATTATTATGCCTTTCTTCTCTTCCCCGCCACCTTCCTTTTTTTTTTTTCTTTTTCCTTCTTCTTTTTTTGGTCAACCAACTACAAAGTTTCAGCCACACAGGCCAGATCCAAAACTTACCGATAGTGGTGAGAACTTCCTCTATTGATGCCAGCTCCGAGGGATTTGGGTATTATATAATTTTGGTATTATTTCCTTAATATCCCCCTCCCAAGAAGCCATCCATGATCTTTTGTGGAGCCTTGCAACTACCTCAAGAATTTACCATTCCCACTATAATGATGTGCCACTGAGATATAAAGATAGTACATGACATCCAGTAATAAATTTTTATTTCCATCTTCTCAGCTCACTGTGAGTGGCAGAAGGCAGTCATTCAGGTCTACCAATATGACACTGTATTGATCTAGGTCAAACATTTGCTCTAGCATTAGAAAGTACTTGTGAAGGTCTTTTATTTGCCCTGTGTTTAAGTCTGTCAGTCCCTAAAATTAAATTGTAGCATTTCTGCTGCCACTGTAGGCTAGGACACCTGGACCATGCACTTTTCAGAGTCTACCGAATAGTGGACAGTGGGAAATTTTTCACTGAAATGTTTTATTGCACTGTAGTACCTCATCAGGAATACAGCTGGACACACAATTCACAGTCTAATGGCAAATAAAGAAATGAAGCACCTCAAATGTGTTTCCTAAGAGGAACTGAGACGTTTTGAGGGAATACCTCATTCGAATTCAGTTCATAGTTGTATTTAAACTTTTCAATAAATATTTCTCAAAACAATGTTTAAAAGTCAAAATATGGAAAACTGTGAGGGATATTTCTGTGGAACAAAAATTATGGTGCTTCATTCACAATTACAACAAATTCAGACTGCAATGTTATAGACTGATATACCACAGGCTATTTATTCAAGCAGCAATATACACTGTTAAATTTTCTGAAGAGAGAGGTCAGATTGCAGTATCATCTTTTTGATACATAAGCAATCCAGTTAAAGAAGCATAAGACACACAGAAAGAAATCCTGCAGCACGTTTAAGCGACCAACTCTTGCTTAGGCATCTGACTGAAAATGAGAACAATGCAAGGCCTCTCTCCCCTTAAGGTCAGAAATCTCTGATATTATTTTGCGGCACTGTTGTTTTCAAGTGCCGCAAAGCCTGTTCCAGTGGTACATCTGTCTCAGGTCTGCAGTAATTCCCCTTCCACGCATCCTGGCAGATGGCTCTGGAGGGATGCTGGGTGGCTGGCAGTGTGCATGCACTTACTGCCAAGGAGGTGCCAAGTTCTGCTCTGCACACTGACTAATCTCAGGCTTTTCCACTGGCCATTAATTGGCTTTTTTAATTAAACATCTGTTTCTGTGGTTGAATGTATTTAGGGAAGTCTGAAATGTGGAAACAATTTTCAGATTGCATAATATTATTCATAGAATTATAGACTGCAGACTATGACATTAATACCGAGAGACTCCATTCTACATCTGTTCCAGAGATTAGGTGAAAGACCCAAGTGCAGCATGAAGTTGGTTTTACTAAAAAGCAAAACAGACTCATTACCTACAAATGTCCAGATCACCACTAAAGATTTATAAAAAGTTAATGGACAAAAGTTTTATAAGCGTTTTGGGAAAGATGTATCATTCAAAGTGTATATTTTGAATACATTCCCTTATCTATCATCTTATATGCTCCAGTATGATAGCTCAGAAACCCAGTCATGGAAGAGGAAAAGCCTGTGACTCACTCTGATGGATGAAAAGTAAAGTAGTCAAGCTGAATAATTTGGGGACCTCTTGCAGTTTGAAATTTATTGTTCAAACTATATCACTGACTATTATAGGTATTATAGAAGAAATTCAGCCTGCAGAGAATTTTTCTCATAGCAAGCACAAACTAATTTGGAGCAGATTGGCTTTCTTGCATCATCAACGAGATAAGAGCATACCATTCATTCAAAGTAACTGAGATGTTACATTCTTACACAATGGTAACTTGTTATATGCTCTTACTTTAATCTCCTCAAAGAAAATTACTGCCAATTGCTGCTGATATTTATAGACCAAACCACACGTGTACTCTCCAAAGAATCAAAACTTGAATTCAAAGAATTTCTGACTGGTAAGCCTTTTGCATGCTTTGGTCTGAGCAGTCTTTGCAGAGTCTGCCCTTGCAGGGCTCAGTGAGTAGTTGTTTGGACACGGCTATTTACTCCCAGAAAAGGGTACAGATGGCTCAAAACCAAGAGGTTATAATACATATTTACAGTAAATGTTCTCACTGACTTAAGTTCTGAGCATGGTGAAGCCATGGAATAGATCATAAATAGTTTCAATATAAAAATATTCTGCTAGCGAGTCACTTTGGAAGAAACAAAAACAAACAAAAAAAATCAAAACTATACCTTGCTATCTCCTGTTCCAAACATACTTATATAATTGTTGACCATCTTGAACACAAATCCACGATCCATAAATGTAAAACAGCGCTAAGAAAGGGGGAAAAAAGAATTATTATTTTATAGCCAAAAAAGCAGTACATGGCCTCACTTACCTGGCTGTTTACCTTGTGTCACCTATAAACTTGAAACATTTGCACAGGTGAAGTTAGTCTTATAGCACGGCAAGGAAAACCAGGGAACTAGTGAATCTGGATTGATTTTTTAATTTATTTTCAGTAATAATAAATTGATCGAACTTTTCATTTTCTCTGTGTCTACAGTCTAAAATAACTATCACAGTGTACAGTGCACTAGGAGAAAGCTTATCTAATGAAAGTCATTCATGCACTGCAACACTCAATCACTAGAGGTGGTACATGATGGGAGCTGACCTGAATATCTCCTTCAGTGATAGAGCAATGACTCTTGAGGAATCAATCCAGCCACAATACTTGCTGTCTATGGGCTACATTATCTCTCTGGGAGCAAATATGCTACTACATTACTTTACTATGAGAACACTGCTCTTGCTGACTGATGGGGCTAAATAGCCAGAAGGTGTAAAGGTTTTTGAGGGCCATGGCGCTACAGTCACTGACATTTTTTCCTTGCAGAGTCAGCCTACCAGATAGGGAATGCAATCTTGAATTCCCCCCTTCTCTGGTGTTCCTGAACTCTGCAAAACTAGCGAAGCCCCGAGCCCTCTGCCACGCAGCATTCAAACAAGGCTGCTGCAATCCCAGCCTGGAGAAAGCCGTATCATCTCTAACCTAAGTAATTCTTTCTGGCAGACTAGATTCAAAAAGAAATTAAAACACAGCCATGTGCCATATCATATAAGGCAACATTACTGTCTTCCCAGTTTAGCTGAGTAACACACAAAACCAGCATGCAAATCTGCAACACCTCCACAGGCGCAACACCACACAACTACTGACTAAGCCCCTCCATCCATGCTCCTGCCTCAAACCAGCATCTTCTTCCAAATGATGCAACACTATGGATAGATGCAGCTTAACCTCAGTATGCCGACAGCAACTAGGGCTTCCATGTGGTATCAGCAATGGAGGCCAACACAGTGGACAGCAAGTTTATAATTTATTTCACCTATGTATGAAAGGAGGAAAATCCACCCTCAGTTTGTTTTCCTTGTAACCTCACAGGAACATTTTATTGCTGGAATACTGCTCTCTCTTGATGCTGTACTTCAATTTGTTATAAAAGATTTGAGCCTGGGTTTCAGTGTGTACTATATACAATGTTCTGTACATCATTAATGTACATAGTTCCATCAATGGAAAGGGGGTGTATGTGTGTGGCCAGTTTAAATCTAGATTAAGTAGCTGGCCATGCAACTTATTGAATGGCAATCTTCCCATGCTCCACAGCTAATGCAATGCTGGGAAAATAAAAATTATTGAGAAATAGGAAAAAACCATAAAATGCAACCCCTTTTAGTGACTTCTCCAAAGCATGCATATATTTTCTTGTATTTGGTAAATGAAAGGGCATTACCGAGTTAAAAAGGTAGGTTACAGTATTTCATATAATACTTGCAATTTGCTTATTCTGGTTTGTAAAAGCTCCCCACTCTGGTTGTGATTAGGAAATATTAATCCACCCGCAGTCATTCAGAGCTATAGTATTTAAAGGAAAAATACCAGGTCAACTGTAACTACGGTTTCATTCCTTACCAAAATTTTTACCCATTTGAATGTAATGTAAGAATCTGCAAAATTTGAAAACTTGGGCTCTTTTATAGAATAGATATAAATGAATCAGAATTGCTTTAAAGCAAGACTTAGATAAAGCTTTTGCATTCTCAAAGACCCAAGGGCAGAGAAAAACTGAACTATAGGTCAACACTAAACTTGGAAATTGAGACATCATTCATTCAGAACTGTTTTCATTCCCTTTGACTAGACTAGAATAGTCTCAAACTTGCATTAAGTATGGGGAAATAAGTGCATATGCTGTAATGACAGAACATCTCACCTTGAGAAATTTGGCAGTGCTGTAGTTTGCATTCCTGGTTTCTTCAAGAGCATCTCTGTACTTCCAAACAACATGATCTGCTAAGACCATCACAATTGTATCCAGCTCAGTTTGAAATGATTCTGGAAACCTCTGAGTTCGAGAAACCTAAGCAGAGAATAGATCATCACTTGAGAGTGTACAATGTTGCACATTAAACCTGAAAATACATTCAGGCCAAGAATAAAGACAGTAAAACACAGGTCATTCAACATAGAAGAAAAATATTCCTAGAGTTCCATGGATCTATTCTGAGTATAAATCCCCAAAGGAAGAATCTGGTCCATAGGAAAGTGGGAAATCTTATCCTCAGATTCCAGCTATTCAGGCAGAAAAGAGGTCAAAGCACTGACCTCCAGCTATGTAAGGTTTGCTCAAAGCAAAATAGAGTTTCTAGATCACTTATTCCCTGTCTGGTATAATCACCTGTTGGATAACCAGCAGAAATTATAGAATTCCCATTCCATTCTAACCCACCCATTACAAAGCTGATGCAACTGTATTTTTGGCCCACCAGTTCTGTATAAGCAAGAATAGGTCTGAGCCTAGCAGGTAATATAATGCTTTTATGGGTAAAACCAGTATTTTACAAAGTATAACAGCATTTCTTTTTTTGACCAGTCAAGAAGAAAAGTCCAAGTATGTGTATTTACCAGGATTGCGCATTTTATATTTTCCCTAAGAGGCTGATTGCTTACTTAATTGAGATCACGTATATACTTACCTTTGTTTTGTTTGTATCAACCAAGTGCTGTGCCATTGATTTTAAGATAACTGCAAAGAAGAACCAGGAATGCTGTTCAAAAGAAGGAAAAAAGAGATTAGGAAAAATGATTATCTGATAAATACTTTACGATGCATTACCATTCCTTAAAGATGGATTGCATTTCTCAGTAATGCACAATGATAAACCCTATGTGACAAATAAATTAAAGAGCCTAAGTGCCATGTATTTGAGTAACTTTGGATCATGCCCTCAAGAGAGCTGAAGTCATCTCAGGCACTTTGTCACTGTCGCTCTGTGCAATAAGGAGCCTGCAAACACCACTCCTACAATCCTTCCTTTGCTGCTGAGCGCTGTCTTCATTGTTTGTTTGCAGGTAACTGGCAGAAATGCATGAAGCAGAGAACCTCAGAGAACAGAAGCTGAGAATAAACTGCTTTGTTAGTTCCAGCAGATTGGTAATTTGGCCCAGGATAAAACGGTACTTGTTTAAAAGATAAACAGAGTGGTTCTTCAAATACCATTTGTAATAGTGAACAGGTACGATACAGATTAATATCTGTATCCTCACATAACTCCTGAGATATCATGTATCCCAGGAGATATGTGAAACAAACACACTCAAAAAGCTTACAAATTGCAAAAAAAACCACAAACCCACAACAAACCTAACCACAAGTACTTTTGCATGGCCCAGGTTTCCTGCATGCCAGCTTTTCTGCTTTTTTCAGCCTATTTTTGCTATTCCAGTGGCTCAGCACAAGAAATAGGAACTGGTTCACTCTAAACAGTTGAACATATTTTTGCCACTAGGAACTCCTGAGCTGGACTGGCTAGCTCTTATACCATAACCGACAGGCTCAGTGATGGGGCTTGCACATGTATGAATTTCTTAGACCTGGTTTGATATGAGAAACCTCAGGAAAACTCAATCATTCTTGTTTTGGTCAATGTCAATCAAAGGCAGCAGCTGAAATCAGATATAAATATTCTACTCACAGATTAATATTGTCCCTGCATCTTCCAAAATAAAAATTAAAATAAAGTATCCTAAAAGTAATTGCTTACATCATATTGTTTAAGAATTAGGTTTCCGACTCAGACTGAGCTGTAATAGAAAGGAGGAATTTTATTATGCAAACCACGGCATTCTGGAAACACGTTATGCTGAGAAACTGAGGCAAGTCTGGTAAGTTTATTCGGTTGAATCGCTGCAGAATGTGATTTGTGCAAAGCTCATACAGGGACAGAGGAGAGGAGAAAGAGATGCGACAAGTGAGTTTCAGGCAAAAAACCAGTAGTAAAACTACAAATGTGCTAATTCAAGCTATCATTCACCTTTAAAACCTGTTTCACTGTTACTTGGTCATTTAACTTCAGAAGACCAGTCATATTCTTGGCTAGCTCCTCATGAACAGTCCTTTCTTCAAATGATTTGGTCCTGAACACATACTGAAGAAGAAAGGAAAAATAAAAGTTATCAAAATGTACATTAAAACAAATATAAAAAACCTCAGCAGGAGAAGATAAATTATTTATACACCACTAGCAGCTGACAATCTTTGCCGCCAAAATATCTTGCCTGAACAATACATTCACGTAAAGTTTAATTCCCCTAGCAGTAACGGCACAACACTGCTCCCCTACAAAATCTCAGTTTTAAACACAACTTCCTGTTCATTTCAGCTTAATGTGAACCGAGAGGAATTTCTGCTTAAAATCAGTGCTACGATTTATTTTTTCAATAGGGCGTAGGATCCCGACACCTCTAAACTGCCTTTCAAGCCATTTCACCAGGAGGAAAAAAGAATAAGCAAGCAGAGGAAGTACGGAGGGTTTTTCACCCGCCTAGTCAGGGCCACCTTTCACTTGCTCCTTTCTTCCAGTGGCAACAGCTAGTCAGAGCTGTTAACAACTCTTCATCCTGAAAGGTGTAGAACGCCCACTGGAGCTGACAGAAGGGGAAGACTATACCCCTTTTAGAAATCAAGCCCTCAAGAGAGGAATTAACCTACAAAGTTGCTCAGAACTCATAAATCTAGTCTGAGTTTTATCCAACATTTTAATCTAGTAATTTGGTACTGGGATCCATTACTGCTTCCCTAAAGCAAGAGCTCTGCCAGTGCATCTGTTGGGATGAAATACCTTTTCAATTCAACCAGGTAGGTAAAAGAAAGGAATATCACTTGAAAATGTCTTATTAATATTCAGCCTTGTTTCCAGAGCAGATGCCATAAGCTTCTCCCTGTGCAGTTTGACACTTCTGGGTCCAGTTATTTAAGTCAGTGTAATTTTGCATTATTATTGCATCCGAGTGACTCACAATTCTCAACTTACTTATTCCCAAAAAAACATTTCTAAAGTAGGTATTCATTTCCTTATAGAAGGATAAAAGAGATTAACAGTTATGGGCTTTTGACTGCTGTTGGAAATGGGAAAACAGGCTAAATGGACTTTTGGCGTGGCTGAATAATCACCTGTTATTTCAGAGATATTTAGACACAACAGATGTCTATTGCAATTTTGAAAATTGAGTAGAAGAGGTGTTAACACCCATTTAATTAACTACATTTAAGTGTTACATACGTTAGTTATTTTGGAGCTTGAACAGTTCTGCTGGACCTTAGGAGAATTCCTCTGTACTTAAATCAGAGTATTTGAGACTAAAATTTGACTACTAAGATGCTGAGATGCAACACCTGTAGACACATACTTCCATGAAGCATGAAAGTAAATCCATACATGAAAATATCAACCAACAGTTGTCAACACTGAAATTAAAACAGTTTTCCCATTTAGTAGCCTAACTCATACCATATTTTCATTATTCTACCCATGAACACGCTAAAGTCTCAGAGTTTATCAGAAATGTATTTGCTTTCACTTAATTCCTAAAGTTAATTTAAAAAAAAAAAAAACAACCAACCTCAAAACTTATGTCACATATATTACTCATAATCCACAAATGAAATGTACGTTATGAAAACTACTTGTTGCACAGTGAATCAGAATATCTTTACAGTCAGAAGTCCACACAGACATTTGTCACTCATAGCTTCTTTTCATGACTGTGGGGGATCTCTCATTGCTATCATGACCTCCATTAGTCTGTCACCACTGAACCAGAGCAGGCCAAGAGACAAAGTGAAGGCCGTATCTACTTCCTTTCTTCTAACAATCTGCAATTCTCCTCTATGCTGCTATTTGAAATACACAAGTTAATAAACATAACACTCAAAGATATTACAACTTACGAAATGAATCAGTAATGAGTAAGACTAGAACAAAATTCTCCAGCCCTCTCCCCCTCAATTAAAAGGGAGAGGAAAAAATAAAGGCAAGTGAAAAGGGGGGGGCAGGGGGGGGAAGTGTAACACCCTTAAATGAGGTTCATTTGTCTATTAATTTTTCCGTCCATGCCGGTAATAGCAGTTAATGTATTCTTCTACTTAAAAACATGTTACTTCATTCAATTCTCAGCTTATAAAGCTGTTACCCAAATATACTATTGATAAGATACTTGCTGGCCAATAGCATTATTCATACTCATTTAATGGATATTCAATGGATACAGATAACAAGGAGATCATGTTTAAAGAGGCCACTTCTCTGGCTTTTTAAGAATGCTACAGCTTGCCTGGAACCAAACTCCATACACAGAACATATCCATATATATTCTATATATACCCTCTTCTTCAAAACAATAATGGATGAAAAAAGCTGAGTAAACAGGGAACAGTTACAAGAATCTGAACTGCACAGATGAGAAAAGAATTTATGTACGATAGCACATGCAAAGACACAGGATCTTGAAACTAAAATCATGACTTAAGAAAATAATCAAAACCTTAAAAAGTTAAAAAGCTATAGCTTCCTAAGAAACATGCAGCCATCTTGCAACCATAAAGAGCACCCAGAAGTACCTCTTCCATAAAAATTACCACTTGTGGATCCTTTTCAACTACAATGAGTACATGTATAATACATGTATAATACAGATGGCCAGATATTTTAAAATGATAAATCTCATCACAGTCAAGAGGAATCTGCAAACTGCAAGCAAACTACATTGGATGTCTCTCACTGGTATCTATCTAGCTGAAGTTTCATGATCTTTCATGTATTTATCTCCTCCTTCCCTCCTCTCAAACCCTACAAGGTGGGAAATTCTCAGTTTCACAAAGACTGACGCTAAACCTACGCTCCTAGAGGATCAGCGGGAGTGCATTTGCACCAGGTCTTGCTTCTAAAATGTAAGCTCTAGTCATTAGCCAGCTACGGGGAATTGTCCCTCCCACATCCCAGTACCCTTTAAGAGTGCACTACAGCTTCCTCCTCCTGTGCTTGGTCAACTTGGCGTCCTATGGAAAGAAAGCTGCACCATGCAGAGGAAACACGAGCAGCCCTTTGTCCTCCTCAATGGAGTGAGATTGTGAGCCAGGATGCAGCCGAGTCTGGTGGAGAAGGACACTCCATGGAGTGTCCCTGATCTACAAGATGCCGTTAAAACACAGAGAAGCAGTGTAATTTGTTCAAGGTGACACAAGAAACTTATGGCAGAGGAGAAGAATTGACTCAGCCTTTTCCAAATCTTACATTAGTTTCCTAACCAGAGTCACCCAGCCTACTAGTAGCAGAAAGCTATGATGCAAATGCAGAGAAAGCTACAAACAAGTACAACTAAGAGTAAACAGTAAAAAATCCCACAAAAACCAAAACCAAAAACCCCCACATAAAATAGTTAACAGCGTAACAGCAATCGTACCATCACATAAGAATTGATGCAGTTGTCTAGTTGTTCTTCATGGCATTTAGCAACAATGTTAGTAAGAACCCTGCAAGATAAAAAAAAGAAAAAAAAAAAAAATTGAGCTGTTTTGTGTCATAAGGCAGAGAAAGTCTATCTGATGTATCACATTATTCTATTATTCTAACTGCATTTAAAACAGTCCATGAGGGATGTGATCCAAATGATGAATAGCGTGTGCAGAAACCGTCCCACTGGGAAAAAACAGTCACTCCTTGGGCCCTCCAATTGCATAGATTGTGCTGTTATATATGCATTCATGTAACAAAATGCACCCAGTTTTAATGATTATAACTCTACTGACATTACAGCAAAAGAAAACGATTAACTAATTAAAACTTACACAGACTTGGATGATCAGGAACAAGAAAAATTAGAGTATGTAAATGAAACAGGCAAGAGCCTCTTTCTCCGGGAATGCTACTTGTCAGGTTCTCTCAGATCTTGGTAATTCTGTAAAGCTCTGACACTTTGCTTATGACAGCACTGTTAATCAAAGACAAACACAAGCCTAGGCTCAAGCGTGAGCATGCCCCTATCCTGGACTGTTTGCCCATAACCTTGGACTCAGCCCCAGCCTGAGTGTCCAAGCACTCAGGAACAAAAGGCCGAGCACAGCACCCCCTCGTTACTGCACAGCAGGGAGAGGCTGGACACTTGGTGCAACTATAGATGCTTTGAGCTTCTGCAGATCAGCTTGGTGATCAGCAACATGGAAGAAAATTGCCTGGGTCATGCCGGCACCCACTCTCACAACCTGAGCGTCTACTAACAGCAGAGATGGCACTACACACTTCAGCAAACTTTTCTCTTCAATTTGTACCCGGGCATCTTTGCCTGAGACCATCCTGTTTCAGAAAACACAACACTGAGCAAGAAGTCTTCTTCAACTTAACCATAACATTTCCTCTTGATTATTGCGATCTCATTTTTTCAGGATATTTAATATAGAAAAGACTCTGCAATTTTATAATCTTATTTTTATGTTAAAAGAATGGGGAGGAAACAGTCCATGATTCTCAAATGTCAAAAATTAGTGAACCGTATCTCAAATTCAGAGGTATGCATAATAACAGTATGACTAAAATGGATTATTAATATGCCTGACTGTGGTCCACATACAAGTAATCATTTTAACTAGCTTGGTGATTTGAGTGTTTTCTGCCAATTTTTATTATTGGATTCAAAAGCTTTGTAATTCTTCTAAGTCAGTATTTTTCGTGTATCTCATTTCTTGGTGTTAGTAGGAGAAGTAAACATTGTAGCAAAACACAAATGCTATGACAAAATTAGTTGTGCCCATTCCGATCCTTCAGCCTTTATTCTGATTTGAAATTGAAATGAGTTCTGGCAAAGACGAGACAGAGAAATGATGACATGACTGCGCCCCCAGACAAGCAAATAACCATGGGAGTATAAAACGAATAATGTTTTCTCCCCAACACATAAGCCAATCTATGCTCTCATTCTGTTGTTGTTGCTTTTAATATGTTCAACACAAGCTGCTTCAAGCTATTCAGAACAAAATACAATGTGTGTATATATAGGACACATCAATGAATGGCACACACAGCAGACGTGCATCAACTCTACCAGCACAAAAGCTATCACACATACAAGAAAAAACACTGAGAATCCTTCTTTTCTTTTTTTGGCCAGGTGGGCGTATAGTCAAAATCTGAAGCATGAAAAAATTAACATCCTTCCATTTTTCCACCTAATCATAAAAACAATTTTTTTAAACAGCTGCTGCTTCTACAGCATTTCTTTCCCAGTCAGTTAACCAATATTGAAATTCTAGCCTGAGACACAATTCTTCATTCTCTTTACCTAGCCTTAACGTCAGTTGATTTGTTGGCCATAAAGGGGTCCTGAACAAAGGCCCGACTGCCTCTCTCCCTTTGAAAACAGTATGCACTGTTTACAAGGAAAGGTTCTTCTAACCTTAGTGCCTAGGTGTGGTAAAACTGGACTTTGCCCTGCAAGGTGCCATGATCCTTTGATAAAGAATATTGAAACTCTAGCTTTCCAAGGCTAAGATGAGGAATTCTCCTTCCTTGCTCCTTTAAGTTTTCCTAATTAATCTTTCTTCAGGAAATAATTCTGAAGAACAATCTGTGGAAGGAAAATATACTGACAGCAGATTAGTCTAACAAGGTTGCTGAAGACAGTTGTCATTTTTTCCTACTAGTTGTATTGTAGTTGCCATGTTTAGCTACTGGCAGAAGTACAACAAAAACACCACTATGGCCAAATGAAAATGCAATGCAACTTTCTTCCCTCCTGCAGAGACCAATAATAATCTCTCCAGTATTTTTTTTTCCTGCTGCCCTGATTAACAGCATCAATAAAGACAATTTCATCATTTGAGGGTGAGAGACTCAGCAAATCATTCCAGCTGTCTGTCTGCTGGAAAATGCTTCCATTGCTCTTCAGTTATTGCTGATATGCTCTAATTAAAAAATGCCCCATAATAGTGTGACCTGGTTGTTTGACTCTGCATTGGATGCTGCAAGATGCTAAACTCTTCCTATGCTGAACTCCACATCCTCAGACCCAAACATAAGGCAAAATTGATATTCAGCTTTGTTAGGAAGCACTTAGCTCCTTAAGAATGAGACCTTTACCTACGATTGCCTCAGGGTACAGAGACACGTCCACCATGGTCAGTGATTTCCTGGTTGGTGTCAGTCAGCGACATGATACCATGCTCTTCCATGCATTATTTGCAGAGCCCTGTGTTAAGGGGGAAGCAGGCATTCTCACCTACTAAAGTCTAAATGTCATAGTCAGCCTTTGTAAAAGCAGCTATAATTGGACTAACATCTACATTTGCACTCTAGAGTGAATTCTTTTCCTCATACAGAAAAATATTCAGATACCTGGTCACAGCTGTTGTAACTTCATCATCACTGCTTTGCACCAAAACCCAGAAGAGCTGATTCAGGACTACAGGAAGAAAATTCATAATTACATGGATCTTCTCGATCCTCAGCAAATTCTGTAATGGACGTAAGAAAGAAAATGAGAGATTTCCAATTCAAGCAATGAAAGCTGACTACTTGCTTTCCTGCTTCAGCAGGTAAAATGCAGTGCAGCCACTGCAGTAACAGCAGTAGGAAAACAGGTCCACTAAGTAGAGGACAGTCCCCCATGTAGTTTGTTTTAAATATGACCATCAACACAACTGTAGGTATTGTCCAAATTTCAGAATTCCAATATTTTGCTCTACCCTGATTTAAGAGGGGCAGGAGGGAGGGGAGGGGAAGAAATAGAAAAGAAAGAAACCAAAACCAATTTTCGTATTTCACTAAGGATATGTACGTAAGAGCAATAAAAGAACCTAATTACTATTTTCGAGACATGCATTTTTATGGAAAACTCATTGTTTTTATGCAGAGATCTGATAAACCGAAATTCTTGTGGCTAAAATACTTCCATTAAAAGCACATTGGTAAAAACTAGTATTAACACACTAACCTGACTGGACTGACATTATATTATCTTCTCTGATCAAGGATGACATTGAGCTTTTAATCAAAAAAAAAAACCTCCTTTGAATTCCTCCTAGTTTTTCATTTCAGTCATTTCCAAATTGTTCCAGAATTTCTTCAAAGGTATTAGTGATTTATAAATAAAAGCAAAATACTCTGGGGAAAATTACTTATTCCCTGGTTATATTGCATAGTTGATCGCTTGTCGCATAGAACATTGTCTCTATTTTCTAATAAAATTACTGAAATCTTTTTAAAAGGTAAACTACAAACAGCAAATAAAGAACAGTGCAATTCTGGTAGTTTAGGTAACTGACTTACTGTCTAGAAAGCTGTGAAGCTTTTATGGATTCCTAAACTTTGTCCAATACGCTCAATGGCTTCCCAAAAATTAATAGTTAAGGACTTCATTCTGGAGAGGTATAATCTCTAAATAACGCTGATGCTTTGACTTTTGAAAACATCCCTTAATCATTTCTTTAAATCAAGACAGTATTTAAAAACAAAGCAACCCCTTTCACGTCTACCTGCATCTATCAACAAAAGTAGTAGCCACCTTTAGGGACTTGTCCAGAGAACTGCCATGATTTATTGGAACTTATTGTTTGCTTATTAAAGCAAAAATCTTTTCCCAAGCAGCTTTATAAAATCTGATTGAGGAACACTTAAACAGGAAAACATTAACAACGAAGGAAAGGGGGAAAGCATGCACATGAAGGTAACATCTAAACCCCAAAACACCTATTAGGTTTTACAGACTGCTAAAAGGAAAAATAATAAATAAAAGTCACATGTACGATGTTTTAGAGCTAGTACTGCGGAACAGCGTCACAGCTACCCTTCAGTCTTCTTGCTCACCTTCCTGTTAAAGTTCAGTAAGCAGATTGCACCTGTTAAAATTCAGTAAGCAGATTGCAAAGCGAGAACTCTGAATTTCACCATTCACCAACAGGTAAAGAATCATGGCCCTACATTTACCTGCTGCTCTTCTAATTTGCTTGTTATACTCCTCCTTTCTTTTGACCTCTACTGAATAAGTCCCATTTAATGCAGTTCTTGCTTATTTGTTTCATCTCTGCAGAAAGGGTATGTTCCTTCTGATTTCAGAACTCGACAGGCAACAAGCACCCTTGATTTATACACGCAAAATACCCTAAACAGTCCTTTGGATAGCATCCAGGTTTTTAGAGTGAAAGTATGAAGAGCCAAGTAGGAGGTAAGCATACAATGTATTTAAGGCAAGAGAGGACTAGCAGGAATACTACAGTTCTACAGGCTACTGCTCCTTTTCCCAGACATTCCTAGAGCAACATTACACCATTCTTTAACAGGATTTGAGGCTTGTCATAGGCTGGATTATCAAAGTTGATGGGGCAGATGCAGCCAAGCTCTAAATGAGAAGGGATGGGAGACAGCTCTTGACCAGTAATGCATCTGTCACATCAAGTAAGTCTAACTGGAGTTGTCATGGACCTATTGCCTCCTGCTAAGTCTATGCCATGTTTAGAATTGTGCAGTGATGGATCAGTTGAGAGAAAGCCCAAAATACAATTTTATAGCACAGTGTGTGCTGCAGGTTACTTTACCTTACAAGAATTGATAAAGTTTGAGGTAGGAGGCTGGGATAGATTCTTTTCCCTTTCTTGGCACTGATGGAAAAAGTTATTCAGGTATGGATCCTGAAATGATAAACATTCACATTAATGTATGTTACAGAAAGGATTAGAATTCAGCTCCATAAATTGGTTACAGCAACGACCTGTGATACCAAAGAACACACTTGGTCCCTACTGCCTTAGACATAAGCCACAGAAAGACAGATCAACTTATTTAGCCCAACCCATATTGCACAGCTTGCTATATACAACTTATTTCTAGGTGCTTTGACCACTCTTTTTTCAGTGTTGTGAGCAATTAATTTTTTCCTCACAATCTAAGGGATTTCAGTGGCCAGATTTTTTTTTTTTTTTCTTCCTGGTGCTCATAATTTATTTTCTTGCTGTTTAAACTGATATTCCATGATTTTTCTGTTGGTATAATCTTAAATAATTTATTTTTCCTTAAAGTGTGTATTCCATTATTGTCATCTTGCCCTTCAGCATTCAAATAACCTTTACATGTTAGAGAAACAAATTCATACAATATCTTAAAAAATCTTTCAGACATTCCTTGACACTTTTTGTTTGTAAGCACGTAACCGAGCTAAGAGGAAATTTAACTTACCTGAGTATTTACTGTCGATACAACAAAAGTAGACACTTTGAAGAGTGGTTTCCCACTATCTACCCATTTTACATCACAGCCGATCTGCTATTAAAACAAAAACAAAATACATTTTGCCACTTATTTCTTACTTATTCAAGTCTGCATAAATTTTCACTGCATAGCTTTGCACATGCACGTGCACAAACTGTGTTGGCTACTCAGCTTTCACAACAGAATTATTGCAATAAAAACCCATTTTTCAGCACAAGCTACAAACGTTATCATTCAAGGGACCAGCTCACTGCCCCACCCTGTCCTCATGACAATAGTAAAACAAACACAAGGAGGCAGAAATAATCCAAACTGGACAGGATCAGTGGGAAAATATGATATCACCCCACAAAACTGGAGAATGAATCATAATCGTGGATCATGTCAGCTGGAGAATGAATGTCATATAGCCTGAGTTTGTGAAAAGAGTTCTTTTTGAACACTCTCATTCATGTTTTGGAGAAGTTAGGTATAATATTGTAGAATACACAGTTATAAAATACACTTTTTCCATATACACCTGTGAATCAGCAACATACGACTCTCAGTCCAGTGGTACATATATTAGTTTATATACCTAATGATATGCACATGAATATCCTAAAACAGATACCCTATTTATCATTTACACTTCCAGGGAAGGGCAAATGCAAATCTGATCTCATGTAAAACATATGCAAATAAATGTTCTGTGCCATTTGAATAATATGAAAATATGAATTAATACCTTTCCACTAGTTGGTTCTTGAAGGCTCAAGTAATTGGGAGGCAGACTGCTTGCCACTGGCACATTGTGTTCTTGGGAAGCTAACTGGGCATCTTTCAACAAAGGAAGCCATGCATATCCCACTGTACACAAGAACAAATCAATATGACTCTTTGGAAAAACAAGCTTCTCTAAGTTCAAAGGAAGACAATAACATCCAGCCAGAAATTCTGCAATCCTTATTTGAACGTACATCATTTATATTTATAATTGAAAGTAATTCTACTACAGGTACCTGGTGTTTCCAGAGCCTCTTTCTTTTTGGCATTAGCTTTTGCATTTATGTCACAGGTGACATGATAAAATGAAAACAGAATGTGGTGTTTCTTATGGAGTTGAGTGGGAAGTTCAATTTTCACCTGAAATGTAAAATGTTACACCTCACTTTAGTTTAAAAATCGATTAAACCAGGCATCAGAGATGGTCTAAACGAGTGACATCTCTCTCTACACAGAGGTCTAAGTACAGCCTGCCTTTATTGGCTAATGTTTGTCTGTATGGGTAACAGATGCTCTCTTAAGGAAATTGTTTAGGATGACCATCCATCACTTTTACTTAAAACAGCTTTTTTCCTCTCTTTCTTGTGGATGAATATTTGCATTTGTGACAAAAGAGCATAAGATGAAAGAAGACAGAACTAAAGAGTGATGGACCCTGCTTAGAAGCGATCACCTGCACTCTTGCAGGCATAAATAGCCTTTACCATTCTCATATTTTCAGGATGACCAAACCAAAAACTAAAATGACATCTCTGCTACTACTTCATCATCATTTCATGGCAAAGAGCAAGTAATAAAGGCTGACACAAAAGTAAACTTTTATTTGCAATTTCTGCTCAGTCTTAAATCCCATATCATGTCATCCATGAATCCCTACAGATTGGGTTTGAGGTATTATTAACCTATTGGAATAAAAATACAAAGTAATCAAAACCTTACCATAGGAACTAATGAAAAAAGACCCCTTTCCCTTGTGAGCTATGATAAAGTTTATCCAAGCTAGTCCTATGCTTAAAGTAAGGTTTAAAAATTGTTGATAAATGCTTCCAGTGTTAAATCAGCTTATGGGTAAGAATCTAATACCATAAACATAGATATGAAATGGGCATTCAGACATGGAGATTAAGACATCTTTCTTGATAAGACACTACATTCTTTTAAAGACTGCACTTGCTGTACTAGGAACATTTAGGACAGGTGCACACCTCTTCCAGCCAAATCAGCTATTAGGATCTGAATTCAGCTCTTTGTTCAAGCTGAAAGTAATCTGCCCAAACCAGATGGCTCACTAGCATCACATGAAGGACATTTTCAGATATGTTAAAACCCAAAACACTGCTCGCAAAGGAGTAAGCAGGGGGTTCAAAATCTGTGAAGATGTAATGCTTTAAGTTCTACCTCAGTTCCTAAACATGAATCTTAAAATTGATACTTCACATGTAGTTGTACATTATCTGCCGGTCTTGCCCCTGCCATTTCATCAAAGTAAATTTTAACTGAAAAAGGAAGTTTTTCCAAGATCTAGCCAACAGTTTGGAAAACGCTGGCTATATACTAATGCTGTTTGCCAGCCCTATCGCTACACATAAAGCAGTAGTGGAAAATCCAGAACAAACAGGTGACATTCACAGGCCATCAAACACACTAGTCACTGAAAGGGTGAAATTAAGTTCACCTGCAGAAAGCCTGGGGAATCAATAGTTGGTGTTGGTGAAACATAAAGATGAAGGTGCGACTAATATCTGGCAAAGGCCAACGTTCGAACTCTATTCTATAGCTGCACCCTCAAAAGCAGCAGCTGAATGGACTTGCTGCAGCCACTACACATCACTGCACATTCTGTTCAGATCACTGGGTCAACAAAAATGCCCCAATGCATTCACTGGGTCAACAAAAATGCCCCAATTCAATATCTCAGAGAGGGTTTTGTTCTGACATTTGGCTCCACCCTTCATCATAACATTTACTGTTTCCATTAAATTCAGAGATGCAGCTGGACCCTTAATGTAATCCAGACGTGCATTTTAGAGAGCTAGGCTGTTCCTAATTAATTCTACAGCATCTTAACTGTACTCAGAACATCTTACAAAAGGAAGGATTCACTGAGTTGACTTAAGAAAAAAAAATCGAAACGTGAGACTGTATGTAAATCTACGTAACACAAGCCCATCCAGATACAGAAGCAATTGGAACAGAAGTATTCTTTACACACATTTTTCTCTCTCATTGGCAAACATGTGGGATTGGCAGACACTGAATGAAAGAAAAAGCAGACTGACCTCATCATAAAAATCAGGATTCTGCGAATGATGTAGCACAGCGGTGTAAGCTGCCGTTGTAAATAATGGTCCACCTGGCTTCCCATAAATACACTGATAAAAGTAACATGCTTTAATTACTTTGTGAAATTCTGCTGATGATGCTAGTCTTGACAGTATATCTAATATGCATGTACATTGAAAACAGTATCATGAAAGATTGATAATTACTTTGATCAAATATTAAAATAAATATTTTAAGTGCTCAAACCTGCAATTTTTTATACAGACTTCCAGTAAAAGTCCATTGATTCTGTGAAAATTACCCTACACTCTACTAAGCAATGCAGACTCCTTAGACTTCTTCCTTGCTGTTATCAATTTCAGAGTTTTCTGCAAAAAGTTTTACAAAAGCTATTTCACTTTTATGCAGTTCAATACACAATACAATGCCTTTACTGACTTTTCAATGTTACAAAAGCTACACCAGTTAACAATCTCCTTGCTGGCAGGGTCCAGTCTGGAGGCTCTTGATTATTGAGTGATGATAACTTTATTTATTGGTGGGGAAACTACAGTACAACAATACTATGCAATAGCCCTTGGTCAAAAGCAAAGTTAAGAATTAAGTCTAAGGTTCTTCTAATTTTGTGCCTCACTGTTTTCAATCAAGTGTCCTGAGCTCAGTGAGAAATGTAGGGTAAAAGGTAAATTTTAGAGTAACCAAGTTGCACTGTAAAAAATGGTTAAGTTTTCTAATATTGTCTTCTTTCCCCTCCACCAGTCAGAAAGCCGGCACTGCAAAATGGCACTGTGAGCTGGAATCATCATGACCAGCTGGGATCAAACAGAACCACAGTGCAAATGTAGAAGGATGCAAAGGATGCATGACAACATTCACTCTTTAATTGTTCTGGGGTAGTATAGCCCCGATTCCTGGGTTTTATAAGTAATGTCCTCAGAAACATTGTTCTCTGAACATACTCTTGTTGTGGCTCACCTTCAGCGGCTTTGCTCCTTCTTCATCAGAGCTTTTAAATTCAATGCACACTGTTATATTCCGTGCCTGAAAGGACAGGAACATATTAAAGCTTAGATCAGAAATGGGGTACCCATAAAAACACAGGTAAACTATAAGGGCTGAAATAAGCTCTTTTCAAAATCTAGGAGAAACATGCAGATGGTGTATCAACATTTAAAATGCCTTTAAGTCACAGTGATATCACTAGAAATAATATTTCCAAGAAGAACTGGCAAAATACAAGCCAGGCCTCAAATTGGCTGTGTAGAAGCAGATTATAAAGTGACCAGCACTTACTTGTGTCTTGTCTTTAATTAATTTTCAATCACCATGAAAGTGCAAGTAGTACTCAAGTTTCATTTACAAACTACAAATATTATCCAGATTAATTTTATCTGCACACATCATTTCATTACAATACAGCCCTTTCGAAAATTGTGAAAAAGCTGTTACCACATTATCTCTCTTTGAATCACTGACACAACTTAAAATTAATCTATAGATTCATTTCATTAAAATTGTACCAATGTTTTATGATTGCAAAAATTGAAAAAGATCAAAAGCCAAGTCAGTGACTTGCATCACTATTTTCTCTTCCTTTATGATGAGTACTTCATTTCAATGAGAGCTCATGCAGTACACTACTACCCAATGTTGGCCTGAATTGGTCGCATACTGTACCTTGTTGAAGTATTTTTGGCTATCATACTTGAGGTGTTTTGGATATATATATATTTGGTTCTTGTATACTCTGTAAGGTCGAGAATATTTTGTTGATTCCTGTACAAACTCCTCAACTTCTACTGTAGGTTGATGCTCATTTATGTCATTAAATGGCTTGATTGGAATAAAAGACGAAGTTACACAGTCTTCAAAAGAACAGAAAAGAAAACCATCACATATTATGTTTATTTTTAGAGTCTTACTACTAAGAATAAGTAATATTGAGATGGAACAAGTAAAATCCTGCCTTACCTTGCAAAAAAATAAGTAATGCTGAGATGCAACAAGTCAAATCCTGCCTTAAATTGCATCCGTGTTACCTCAGAACAATTACAATATGTCATTCTTAAATGGTTTATCTCACCTAAATCAAACAGTACAGCACTGAAAACCTCTCTTGACACACACAGTATTTGACGGCATTTGATGGCATAACAGCACCATTGGTACATGGACACTTTCAACAGAATATTCTGAAGTGATGCTGTTTCTAATTAATTTTACAGCTCAACATCTCATTTAAGTTTTTCTATTATCTAATAACATAGTAAACAAAATGAAGAAACAAGTAGAGCAGAACTAGATTAAATACATGATGCAATTGGTATAACTGAAATCAGATCAAGAAACAGAAAACAGAAAAAATGAAAATAAACACTCTGTCACCTAGACAGGGAGAGATTGAAAATGGATAGAGTATACTCTGTCTGCCTGTGCAGTGAGACATTTAACTTCAGCATGGAGAACTCAAGGGCTGTTTGCACAAAAGCAGCTGAGAAGGGTCACCAACTCTGGGAAAAGTGATTTGAAATTAATTCCTCAAACCCTAGAATAAACCACAGGAGAAGCCTACCAATTTGTGGTGAGGAAGCCAAAAGAAACTGGTGATCCCTCGTATACACTATGCCCAATTTTACTTCCCTCTAAACTAGCCAAGAAGAAATTGCCAGTTTCAGGATGGTGCAGGTCCTCTGCAGCCCAAGCAGGTGGGGGAGAAGCAGCTCTATGCCAGCTATAGCAGGGTGGTTTCTCTTTGCTTTCTTTCAAATAGACACTGAAAACTTTCTTGCCAGCCTGCTGCCCTCCAAAATATGAATGTGTCCGATTGACTTGTACACCCAGCCAACAGACATAGCTCCTGAATTAAGCTGGAAAGATCCATATATGAAAACTTTCGTCTTTCCCAATCAAAATTAGCAGCATTAAAAGGGAACAGCTAAATGACCACCACCTCCTGTAGAGAAGCCTTGATAAGGTTTATTCTCCCCAGTGCCAGCAATAGTTCCCTGTAGATGATCGTGCAAATTCCTTTGTTGGTCAGTGAAGATACTCAGGGTCACATACAAACTTTTGAAGGTTTGCTCTTCTGCTACTAACATGCCCAGTACTTGGGAAACTCTGCTCACTACTCTTGGCCTACAAAGCTAACACAGGCAGCTTTCTGTTTGGGCAAATCTCACGCAACCCATCTTAAAATATGAGGATGTGTTATGTCTTATAATTTGGCCAGCTGCCCCTCAAACTTGATCTATAAGCATTCTGATTGTGTAAATTTTTTAACATCATTAACCTTGTTTTTCATTAGAGAAATCCGGGGACCAACCCAAGGATTAGAATGCAGTGCTAAGGCCTCTCTGCAGAAGTCTTTCTGTGCCCTCCGCACACTGCACTTCCAGTAGCCCGTAGAAAATCCACAGGGAAATAGAAATAGTGCTGAGCTGAACACAAAAAGGGGAGTAAGTAATAAATGAAGTTTTTAAATACCAGTAGCTCAGATAGGAGAGCAGCGATAGCCTGTAGAGTGTGAGAAGAGGCAGTAATAACAGGAAGAAGCCAGCTGGAAAATGGCGGCTTCTGCAGCCAGTTGTGAAGGTCTGGTCCCTCTGTGCCTCACTGCCATTGCACAGACATGCACACAGAGGCAACAGCCCAGTTTGCTGCCAGTTGCATGGCTCTCGGCTACACGCTACTCTCCGTGACTGCCCTCCACAAGAATGAAGCCTCACAGTTTGGGGTTTTAATGGGTATTTTAGGGGTAAAAGCAGGAGATGTAGCAGCAACAGTACCTGCTGCCCTATTGCCCAGCTTCGGGGCCCCGACCTTCCAGCACAAAGGACAACAGGCAGGGACCATGCAACACAGGTGGGAGCTTAAGGGAGCTTTTTCTCTCTTCCCCTTTGCTAGAGCTCTGCGAGTTTGGCTTCCCCCCACGCAGCAGGAAAGGCAGAAGTTTTGTTTCGGGTTAAACACTGTCAGACAATATCCCCTGATACACCACTGACTCCAGCTCTTGTTGTAGCTATAGTACATAAAGTCTTATAAAAACAAAGATCTACTTCTGTTGTCTAATGCAAATTGATGCTAATGTGAGGCAGGGTAGTGTTGGTCCCTAGAGACACAATCGCACCAGCAAATTCTTGACAAGATCTTTGGCCAACTTCCTTTTCAGTGGCTTTTCTTGGCAATAAAGGATATTAGCACTAGCCTAGCATAACTGACTTCGGGTGGGAAGGTGGTGTCATAACAGAGCTGGTTACTGCTACTACAAGGCTTCCTTCAGAGCTGGCTGAAGTCAAGAAGATGGAGATTTTAATGAATCCTACAGCATGGAAGTTTTCTGGTACAGTTTTTAAATTATTTTACAGCCTTATTCAGAATAAGACAAATTTTCCCCATACCAAAGAAATGTTAAGTGAGGGAATTTTCATTGACTTTCCACAGGAACTGGGCACTTTACTAGCACATACTTTAAAGCCAGACTTTCACTTGGCCACAGTGCACACCAAGTCAGGTAACAGTACAAGGCCCAAGCTGCGTTGGACCATTTTGCCTACTCTGAGCTCTCAGTTTCTTTTAATTTCAAAAATAATAATTGCTTTTGAAATGTTAGTGAAACTATTTTTTCATCTAATACCATATGAAGATGACATAAAGATGTGTGATGACAGACTTCATAGGAATTCAATGGTCCTGAGCTTTTTTGCAATAGTGGGTCACAGAAATGTGGCCCTTGAAACAGAAAATTTAAAAAACGATGAAAGGATCCAGTTAGAAGCATCTATCTTAGCAGTTGCTACACTGATGCCAGAGTGGCCTCTGAATGAAGTCCTTCATCGAGTCTGCATTCTTGAAATCTGCTGCATGTTCCATACGTGCTAATTCACAGAGGATATGAGCATCGCAGCCCATCAACAGTGCAAGCTCAAGCTACAGAAGTCCATTCAGCTCTTTGGCCTAATCCCTTAGAGACCAAAAAGTGGTCCTTGGACTTTTATCACATGTGGATTCAGCATGTTGTGTTCTGCATTGCTGGGGTATATCTGGCAAGGTACAGGACGAAACAAAGAACGGTGTAATTAAATGAAAACAAATCAAGAAAACTCCCCTGCGTACATTTTTCTATACAACAACAGACACTTCTACCAGAACTGTCTTAAGGCAGCAATTATGGCTGGAGAGCCTATGACAATGTCCTATTTAATTATAATAATTAATTATAAAGTGGAATCATACTTGGATGTTCTAAAGGAACACAATCAACTGCAATCTCCAAACAGCCGGGTATAGTCTGTATTTTGCTAATCTTCTCTGCTCTGCAATGACAGAAATGAAAACATTTTAGAAAATTAGAACAAGGGTGATGAGACCCATCATTGGAATTAATCTAAAATGAAAACCAGACCCTGATTTAAGATATAAATATATATTAAACACATTTAACATACACCTATTGGCTATTAAACGCAAATCAAATGCAACAGCAGGAAAGAAACGTGGTTTGTTTTGTTTTGGGTTTGGTTTTTTTTTTCCTTTTTGGCCTCATTCCTGCCTTCTCTTTGCAAGTAATATTATAGCATATTTTGTAGAAGAGGAAGAAACTGATGAACCAAACCTTATGAGAATTAACTTACCCACTTTTTCTTTCTAAAATCTGAATCAAATGTTCTCTAAAAGGAATTCAGTGACCACTGAGACGAGAGGAGTTCACAGCATCATGGCTTCTGCAAATGCCATGCTGAAAAGGGACCAAGACATACTCCTTGTGCCCAAGCAATTTGAGAAGTGCCGAAACTGTGATGCTGAATACCTTTTATCTAGGAGATGCTTTAGACAGACAAACCCAGCAGTGGCGACTCTAATAAAAGTAGTGAGAATTTCAGTAAAGTTTCCTAACCAGTAACAGTAAGATAGCACAAGAGATTAAGGGCCCGATCCAATCCCTGTAGTTGACATTCAATCTTTCTATGATCTGATTTTATATAAATGGAACAGGAGAAGTTAATTAGATTAATTAATTTCTAGGCACATTTAGAGTGGAAGGGACAGGAAGAAATTCATGGTTCAATTCTCATGTCACTTACCCAGTATAAACAAAGACTCTGCTCTAGAATTAACCTGATTTACACCTGTGTGGAAGACTATCCAGCCAAACCGCTACTCACTAATTTACACACTGTCAAACGTTTGGAGAAGTTTTTTCCTTCCAATGTCCACTCTGCAGTTTGTCATGGAGACTCAAACAAACAAAATCAAGGAATGGGGAAGCCATTAAAGAAAGCTTTTTCATTTTTCTCTCTCTCTTTTTTTTTTTTCTTCCTCTTTTCCCTGAGATAATGTTCTCTTGTTGGTTACTTGACCTGCATCTCCCCTGATGGAAGCTAATTTAAGGAATCACTATCTTTAGGTTATAACAACATTTATTAATGTGCCAAATGACATTTAAGTTTTCCTGGAAAGTTCAGCCTAAAGCACTCTTTGGCAGGTAATAGGCTAATATGAAAAACACTAATTTAATACGGCCACTTTGGCACACTGTGTTAAATGAAGAAAAAAAGCTGTGAAAATTATTCTGCATAGCTTTATAAAGCTTTTATTCCTTCTCAAACCAAATTAAAACCTGTTCCTTACCTTCTGTATTCTGCTATTAGTTTAATCAAATCTTCCATGGAAATCTTATTACTTTCTTGCCTGAATAAAGGTGAGAATCGGGAGTCTCTGTCAACATTTCCCTGATTATCTTTAAACACTGGTCTATAAAGAAAGAAAAACAACATGTTTATAAACACTCACCCATAGACATATCTGAACATTTGAATTTTTCATGTAATCTTTTATCAAGATTATGATATGAATTCTTAAACAAACTCAAGGGCTCCCTGCAGAGCTTCACACAAGAAAGCTCTTCCAAGCTGCACATTTGCAGGAGCATAGGCAATTTCAGTTTACTTGCATGTGCGGTCCCAGTCCTGCAAAGACTTAAGACCTTGTTTAATCTTACATGATGCAGACAGTCCCCACTGACCTCAGGTGCAGTGTGACTGTCACAGTTCGAAGTTGCTGGGGTTTAATGCTAGAACAGATCACCGTCTAGTTCAGCATCTACCATTTTTTCCCCTCTCTTCTGTAGCTAAGTCTCACTTGAGAAAACTGGAAGTGTACAGCACCTCATCGGAGCCAGCTCTCCGCTCCCACCAGCCCCTCCATCACCCCGTCTGCAAGGCTGCCTTCTCCAGCCTCTCAGCAAGCTCTTGGGGCAGCCCCAGAGAGGCCATCCCTGGCTGAGAGCCACTACCCCCGAGCCTGATGGGACTTTACCATCTTGCTCACACATCAAGGACATGACTCCTCACTTGAACAGAGACTGACTCCTTATTTCAAGGAAGCATTTTGAAGAATTCATTACATCAATAGGTAGTTTCATCCAAGAAGTTATTATCCAATGAAAAACATGACAATTTTAAATAACAGAAATCATAGCAAGATGCCAAATCCCAACCACTACATCTCACCACATAAAGAAAAGTATGCTTTTGCAGAACCAGGTTAGAGACCTCTACCGAATCTTCCTATGCATTAAATCTGTTCTGTGTCGTCCAAGAGCATGACACCAACTCACTGGAGCTTAGCCTTCCTTCACAGAGTAAGTTTGTTGAGCATTGACTAAATTTTTGGTGAAGCAGTTACAAAGTGCCAAATGAAATGGAAAAAAGGGATATCCATCTATAACTGGGAACAGTAAATATCAGCTGTTGTGCGCACAGGAAAACATTCCCAGATATTTCCGTTCCTGCTCATTGACACTTGCAGGATTTAATTAAGACATTCCAGTGCCCTTTGTATAACCCCAAGGGTCACACACCCTGGCCGAACTGGATAATGTAACAGCTATCCAAATTAATGAACCTTGGATTCAACTGTAGTATGCAAAAACATCGCTTAACAAAAGTAAAATATTCTTGACACTAAGTGCTGTTCTGTGAATCATTTGGCCAATCTTGCTTCCTTAATTTACTTCTCTGTTCCACTGCCAGTGAGAAGAAGAATTGATGCCAGTACAAACTGTTGCCAGATGCAAAATAATGGAGTAAACCTTTGGAAGAGGATCCCAAGGATAAGTATAAATGCACCGTGTCTTAACTTAATTAACTGAGAGAAGCACCACTATTTCATTTCTTTGTAACTACAGAGAATAATCAACTCTCCTCCATCAGATTTTTGCCTCCAGCAGTTAGAGGGAGTAAGGTCCACACCAACACGCTGTGTCAAAAATCTTAAGTTATTAGGGAGAAACCAGACCTAACTTCTGGCAGCCACCACTTACTTTACAAATCCTATTAAACTGCTGTCAGGGAAAGAAAAAAAAAAAAAAAAAAAAGAAAAAAGGTAAGATTTAATAATTATTACAGTATTGGTGACACTATGACATTTCTTGGACTCAGCACTGCTTCCTTCTCCAGACTAATAGAGACGACTAAAACATTCAGTGAGTGATTTCCGCCATGCCACTGGGCTCTGCAATGTGATGCTGAGCAAACCCAGGCTCTGCTGGAGCTTATTAACTAATTCCAGTGCAGGCTCTGACACCGAGCAAACCACTGCTCAGCACAGCAGGGTGTAGGGGCACTGACCAAGGCAGGATTGGGGATGTTCATCATGTAAAAGGAAAAAGAACCAGGTCTGTGCTGGAAGTAGCTCACTCTGGGTCAGCGGTACCCAGCACTGCCTCCCGGGAGGCTCAGGGACACGGCATTGTCACCTCCTCCCCTCCGGCCACTCTGGTTTGGAGTCAGAGTCCTCCTGCCTACAACCGCTCCTCCCCAGCACCAGTGCTCTCTGGGTATCATATGCCCTACCTCTAGAACTATCCTTGTCAGTTCAGCAGCATATCCCAGCCTAAATAATACACCCAGGACAAAATTAAAGGCATGAAACCAGGTATCTGCAATACAAAACAGGTAAGTATTTTTATCCCTCCAACTTACACACAATACTCCATTTATGTAAACTCTTGCCACTACAAGAGCAATTTAGATGTCCACTGAAAACAAGATAACCCTTCTTAAAAACAGGTATGTTTTATGGCCTCAGGGAAGAGTTAGATGGCTTTCTGCTGGTCAAACTGTACTGGTGTCTCCGTTCCCCTGGCTCATTAAAGCTGAAGAATTGCCAAAGCAGCAAGTATTACGTGTATTATGTCTGCAGTTAAGTAACCACAATCCCGTGTTTTGCTAAATCCTTTCAGGCTGCTGGGCGCAGGTGGAGCAAGAGTGCTCCTTGTCACAGTGAACATACCTGAAGGCATTTGAGAATGACAACTGTCACATCAAAGAAGAGGAAACATAATAAAACACTTCTACAATCCAGGAGTCCAATACTTGCCTAATATATTAACAATTCCTTACTGCCGGTTACTTATTTACCAGAGAGATTTCAATAAGAAAAAATTCACAGAACTAAAATCCTGAAAAGATTCTAAAGGTATTACTTTAGGGGAAAACAAATTAACAGATTTCATTAGAGAAACTGAAACATCATCTAAGTATTTAAAGTGCTTCTACGAATCTACCATTCTGACATTGTTAGCTGATAGTTCACAATCATAAGAATTCCTTAAGCATGGAAAACCTACACAATGTTCATAATTTAACATTGAAAAAGCTACTTGTTAAGTAGCGGCTTACGATTTGTGGAAAAATTGCTCACCTCCAGGGTTAGAGATTTAATGTGAGATCTGCAGCTACTGTAAATCAGTCCAGCCTCACTACCTTCAGCTACATCAACCTACGCCAGCTAAGAACTCAATCAGCAGCTGCACAAGCTGTTGAAGGATTCAAATATTAGGCTCTAAAATGTGAAGTTTACGAGGGTGGAGAAGGTTTGAAGGAATAGCAGAGTGTAAAAACTAATCTCTGTGAATGAAGTTTCCCCACATCTACAATATGTAGCTCAGGCACATATTTGCAAACTTTGGCAGTTCTGGCAGAAATATGAGAATGGAAGATAGATTTGACACACTGTAATTCTAACACATACTGCAATTATACCTGCGAGAGCTTACAGACACCAGATCCCACCAACGCCAGCAAGAAATCAGGGAGGAACCCTGAGTCATGCTTTTGAACGATGCTAACAAACTGGATGCCACATAAGCTAATTAAGAGTTTCAGTCACATGCACCATACTCAACTGCCAAGATTTTGGCTTGCTGAATGTATATGTAAAAATCGCAATGTGGCCATCTGTAACTGCTTTAAGGGGGGAAAACTTCTACACAAAACCAGGAGCGTGGTTAATGCCAGAATGAAACAACTGGAAAACATATTTCCAAACCCAAGGTTTTGCTATTTATCATAGCCAAACCACTTTTTCCCCTGTAGTGTGATAGCCTCCTGTGGAAACTTCTATTTTCAAGCTGTGAAAACAGAAATAGATTTTATAGGGCCAAATTATGCTTTGCTTTTACCAAAGAGAGTCCTGAATAATGTTAATACATAAACAGATGTAAACGAGTGCAGAATTCGACCCAACAAATCGAATAAATTCCTTATGCAACACCACTGATACCGACAAGTTCATACACGTGGTGTATTTGGTCAATGATTTTTGAACTATGTTATCTCATAATGTGATTTATAATGAAAAGGTTTAAGAGCTGATAAACACACCCAAGTATATTTTCTGTAATTAATTCTACAGATGGGAGGAAAGCTTTTTAATGGTATGGACAGTGAAGCACTGAATTAGAATGCCATCCAAAAACACTGCCTGCTGGAACTGAGGGATGTCCAGAAACCCCAGCTATGTGCTCTGCCCATGTGCAGGCCATCTGTGTAATGCACACACAGTAAGTCTGCAAAATGTTGAACTCGCTGTGCATTTGCTAACACCACAAGCATATATTCCCATTTATATCTGGGAAATCACAGCCAGAAATATTGGCTAGACAAACATATTTAGGAATGATTTGATCCTGGGAAAGAAAGTTTCCTAAGGAAAGCAAAAATATAGTATGATGCAGAGGTCTTTTCGATCTTATTTTCTAAGACTGTGGACTGCACATTGAAAAAGGAGCCTGTAATTTCAGACAGAATACCCAGTGAAACAAGTCATTGCTATCTCTGAAACTGAAAAAGTATGGACTAGAGCCAAGGGTTTCCATTGACAAAAAGTCTCAAGGAAACAGACTGAGGAAGGCTCAGACTCCCAGGTACTCCCACACCCACTGTACTGAGCATCACACAAGCAAGCTCCTCTCAAACGGAGCTCTATTGCTCTCGTCCTGCCTTATGCCCTTTGCCACATTCCAGCCTGTGCCAATTAAACATTCTGCATGGAATTCCAAAAAGAAAAATCTCCGTTCATTTACCCAATACATACTGTTGGGTGCAGCAGCAGCAACTGCTGTGCTTCACTTAGGTGAGTAGTAATTAAGTAGAGCAATCCATCTATAGGAAACGCTTCTGCTCACATGGCTGTGGTGACTGGAAGCTGTTGCTATCATATACCATGTTACTAGAACTCAAAACACTCACATGCAGGTTTAAATCTGGTGGAGCACTATTTATTAGTCAAGCTTGATCTAATCAAGACTTTATATTCCTTACCCCAAATCAATGTGGTCCGTTATTACAAAATAAATTTATGCGGTTATAATACTATGTCTGAGATGCCAAGTGGTATTTTAATGACAAAATATCTGAAATAACACAGAACTGAAAGGAGAGGAGAATCTTCTGAAAAGCACCATTTCCTCAGTGCACCCTAGCCTGATAGGCATTTAAGGTGCTATCCACCTTACAGTGATAGAAGTAAAACTTCATTCATGCCTGTTAAAATTCCCTTAGGCAGAGCAAGCACAGCCTGCAGTTACAATTCTGGGCTAAGGCACAGTACTGCGTAATGCGCTTGAGCAGTACAGCCACAGCACATACACAGCCCAGCATCTGCGTACCAGTATAGTACAGCACAGCCTGAACCCTGCTTCTGCCTACTCCCTCTCACCGAGAGGCAACTAGGGGTTGCCGCTTGGAGAATCCTATGGAAGGGAAATGCACTTCCTTCAAAATAAGAAGAAAACCTTTCTGTATTTTTTTTTTTTTTTTTGTCAAGGTAAGAGATAAGATTTGCTGAAGACATGGAAAAATGTTTTAGCCTTATCCACATGCAGGAATGACTAACCAGACCCTGAACTACTTAAAATCATCATGCTACCTAAAGATAGCTACAGCAATGACTGAGTTACAGGACATATCACTGATGGCACCACCACAGACCACAGGCAGGACAGAGTTAATAAAAAGCCTCAAGTCAGTCTGATGCCAAGCCTGCACCTCTTGCCATTGTATGGTCCATTACACACTAAAAGTAGCTCTGTCAGCCCAAGAGACACCCATCAATATAATTTTGATGAATGGTCCTTTGGCCACACAGAAGTAGTAAATATTAATGACTATCCTTGAGCTTGAGATGACAGATCAGAACACATTATCTGCCTTTCTCTTGAGCACGCACATACTTTTACTGTTCCTGCTGGATATTGATAAAAATGTATGTCAATAAAAAATAAATGAACTCTTCAAACGGCTGTACCTTACTGTGTGTTTTCTCCTTTGCCATCTAAGCACCATATTCTAAAAACATAAGCTTTCCCCTACACGGAGCAGGGGAAACTGTGCACTTCTGGTGCTCCGCACCTCCACACCAGAAGCACACAGCCACACCGCTATCCCCCATGGTCATGGGCAATGCCACAACGTGACTTTTTCATCTAGCACTCGCTGCTTCTTCCTCCGTACAGCTTCAGGCAGCATTCCACCTGGCCTGCCACGGTCAGAACAGAAGCCACAGAGGAGAAGGAATGCTTTCACTCGGCAATCAACAGCTTTCTTTTTCATAGGGAATATAAAATTTTATATTCCTTGCTCTATGCATGGGAGAAAGAAGGGAGAGCTGTCACAGGGACACACAGGAGGGTCTCAGTCAGGGAGCTCTCTCATCCCAGGACAGCAGTAAGCTGAGGAAACTACAGAAGACTGAGAAGGAAAAAACGGAGAGGACAGAGAAAGGAATTACACGGAAACTTGAAGGGACAACAAGAAGAAGAAAGCCGTATCTCGTTTTGTGACTTAATCTGGTAGAAGGGGATCAAGAGGCACAGGGGTGCCTCAATCTTGAGGATGAGACCAGCAAGAAATTATCCAGGAGGAGAGAGAGGAAGAACAAAAATCCATTACTTCCACTACACTGACCTGCAATAAAACCCAACTGACCTGCCAAACAAGAAAATAACAGCTCTCTGTTACCTACTAACCACTAAAAATGCAAGGTTATCTGAAGCGTAATCCCTCAATATCACCCCCAAGGCACTGTTTTAGGGGCACCATAATCTCCAAATCCTTGGTTAGATTTTTCCTAAAACCTGACAGGCATCATAACAAGAACAGAGCTTCAAACTTGTGCACCTATATTTTAGGTGGCCATTACAACTCTATTTCAGACCATAATTATCTTAGTAGGAAATTCTTGTAAGAACTGAGACTTCAAAATCTCTTTGGTAATTTTTAGCACCAAATCACTGGTGGAGCTCATGATAAATTGATATTCTGTCAGCCACCTTTGCTACTCCCTGGCAACTTCACTACATACCTGAAGAAAAGATTCCACCGCAGTAACATTTAATGAGAAAGTAACCAACGTTCAGCTGTGTGAAAAATAGGGCAATGAAATAATAAAGCTGCAGGATCTTCTGGAGTCCTGGACCACACAGAAAGTTTTGCTTAGCTTCAGGCACAAAAAGTGGAAAACAATAAAAGGATACAAGTCCAAGCAGAATAAGCTATAAGATGCTTATAAAATTATAAAAAGGATTAATACATACCTCACTGACCAAGCAAATGGCATACGGTATTTCCCCAGCTTGCTACAGAACTGTTTATTGGATTTTAACACTTTCTGTGCACACTACAGAAAAGAAAATATTAATTATTTCATCAATATCATTATAATATCTGAAATGCAGCACACAATACATCCAAGTACTCCTCTGCCGAAGAGACTATAGTGTCCCTAAAATAATTTAGCGTGATACTGCCCATAACAGAAGGTTCTGAGTGGACAGCAAAGATGTAACAGATGAATATGATGCTGCTGACAAATTAAACCCCTTCACCACCCCTTCAGTCAGAACTGTGTTAGTTAGAGTTATTACTCCAGTTTGCTGTAATATACCCAATGCAGATGCACTGCCTGCTCTCAGAGAGAAACAGGTGCCTACCCCAACTTTGCTCGTACACGAAGTGCACTAACTCATAATTTCTAAAAGATAGCTAAAACAGAATTTCACTCTGCTAAGACATGACTAGCATAGGAACGCACCACGAATGGATTTGTATGTTGCAGACAAAATGGTACATCATTCATTCAGTCAATGGAGCTTGGACATTTGCTTTCTTAGGCGTGGGCCTCCTGTTCAGCAACCACACACTGGTGAGATTTGTGAGCACAATTTGCAATGTCTTCAGCTTCCAATAGGCTGAAGCTGACAAAGAAGGAACTGATGTTCCTATTACATTACCTTAAAAGAATCAGGATTCTTAATGTAAGGTTCAGCACTGCTGGCAATGTTTCCTGTAAGGACCTTTTCTATTTTTGCCACTAATACGATCTCAGAATGAGGATTACTTATGGAGAAAAGAGCCTGTGGATAAAAGAGAGAACAGTTAAAATGTTTCTCCAGCAATACTGGAGAAATAAAATACTGCCAGTGCTCTCTGTTGATGGAAACAGTAACAAACCAAATTCAGAAAAGATTATTGAGGATTATTATCTCTACATATTCAATACAGCCAGATGGAAAACAAAATCTTTGTGCTAGTGCTGAAGTAAGCTTGTGCACATGCAGCACCCTGCAAACAGAGTGACTCAAATCAAGAAGCAGTACGACCACGTTAGCATCACCTAACCTAACTGTTCCTCTTGGACGGTACTTAAATGCCGGCCTAAATCAGTCACACCTCAGGGAAATGACAGGGAGAAGAAAAGGTATGGGGTTTCAGGATAAGGCTTACAGCAACAGCAAGAATGTGGAAGTACTTTGAAATTAGTGCAGCATCTAGGTGTTGCTTTAAGTTGTGATTTTGTTCAGCTGGTTTGGGAAAGGTCAGCAAATGAACCCAAAGAGCACAGGAAACATGGGTGGTTTCTCTAAATAACAGACAATAACTTTTTTCAAAGTTTGGATTGTAAATGGTTTTAAAGTCTATACAGGTTGCTCAAAAATCAAGCATCTGTATACAAGTACCACTGATAGACAAAAAAAGAGTATTCTTGAAAACAAGAACCACTGGTAGTACAGATAAATTCTCTGATGAAAATGAATACTACTACTGAACTAAAATAAGTCACACGAGTCACTAAGTCATGCAAGTCACACGTGGAATACCTGTTTTGGATATTTCAGCCATTCTTCTGGGAACCCCTTGACCTGTGGTTCTTCCATTTCATTTGAGTCTATATTTTCAACAGTGCCATTTTCTAATGAAAACGAGGAACCTGAAATCATCTGTCTAACGAGTGTGTGGTTCAAATCCACATGAAAATCAGCAGAGATCTTCCTGCCATCCCTGACATCATACAGTGCCACGCTCACAAAGAAAGGCTCTACCTGGAGAAAACACCAGAAACATAATATAGTGGTAACTGAGAGCAAGGGTGTAAACTGTATCTTTTAATAGGTTCCTGCAGCTAGGAAAAAAAAAAAGCCAACAAATATTATTTATAAATTATGAGATTCATTAAAAACACACGCTCACACACTCCCCTGCCAAAGTTAGTTTCCAACCATGTGATTTTAGGGGCTTTTAAAGGTAGTTTTTAAAGGTGCCAGAACAGTAATTGACAGCCAACTTAGAAACTCGCAGAATAAAACCCAAATGTATTCTTCACAGATAATTATTAGAGTAAATAAATAGAGCCCCAGAGAAACATGTTATAAGATTTTTAATACGTAGATTCAGAATCATAATAAAAGAAAGAAGAGTGAGGGTGGGCTTTCCAGGGATCGTCAGAAATGTGGCACAAAGATGACAAATGTAAGTAGATGAAAAATGTTTACTGGTACAAACACAAATGCGTGGGTGTATTATTCTGTGGGAAACACATGTTCCGTTTATGCTAGGATACCAAGAGCATTCAAACCGCTCTGACAGTACCCACTTATTCTGTCGCATAGTACCAGGGAATTAAGTCCTATGACTGTAAGTAACCTCCAAAGAGCCTCCTTAATTCTGATGAAATAAATCAGTCTCAGAATAAGAATAACACCTTCTGAGCTGTCCAGAAATCAGAATCTTAAAACTTTGGAGATAAGGAACAACACATGGCAGGTACAATATTCCATGCTTTTTCAGCCTCTGTAGTGAATTATTGCATGCCCTTGGTACAGTTATCATGACTTCATTTAAACAGTTATTCTAGTCTGCCAAAAAAAAGTATTGATTACATCATGCTGAATATGCACTCACTGTAGAGGTCATCTTCAAATGCGGGGGGCGCGGGGTGGAAATCAATGCCTCATATGTAATGTATGAAAGTTGAGTTGCCAGGACACTAATTTCTCAAAACTTTCCTGCTTCAGAGGAGAACTAACTAAAAGCTATGACTGACAGTCTCATCTCGCTTTTCCCTGCCCTTTTTTCTTAAAGTAAGAATAAGCAAAATTTTCTGTTTTGTCCTGGTTTTAGCTGGGCTTTTTCACTAGGTGAAGCATCCACCCCTTTCTCTATTTTGCCTTCTCTTTTGTAATTTAATCTGGTTGGTTCCTGGTCTCTCTCTGAAAAACAAAAAATCAGTTCACCAGCAACTGATATTCAGTTGCCTCCCTACATAGATCTTGGCAGTTTAAACTTGTTCTTCTTACAGCAATTGTTAAGAATCCTCAAGGATTTTAACATTTTTAATTCCCCACTGAACGGTAGCTAAAAGTCTGCAATCTAAATCAGCTTCAAAATGTTTACTGAAAAGTTCATCAGTTTCATTATTCAATCCAAAGGGATGGGAAGAGGAGGAGGAGGGAATGCAGTATGCATGCATGACACAGCTTTCCTTTTACCTTCTCTTTGCAAAGTAACAAGTGCACAGAAAGAGAAAAAAGAAGAAAAGAAAAAAAAAAAAAAAGAGAGAGAAAAATTCCAGGAAATAAGTAAAGCTTACATTGGTTGAAGGATCATTTTCATTTTCAGTAACACAGGCCTGGAGATTCAAATTGAGGGATTTGCAAGTTATCAGGATCCTCTTTGCAGGCTTTTCTTCAAATGGCTTGATCACCGAGTTTGTCCCTGGAAACTCCTTTTTCTGAGGATTCAATGACTGAAATAAGTTGGGTGATTCGTTACACGTGGGAAAGGCATGGCATTCCAAAACTAAGTAAGCTTTTTAAAGGTCTTGACAATCCCTGAAGCACCTGAAAACCTCAAAAGGTCACTGCCGATATCTTCACGTTACAACAGTAAATGAGTGTTATTCCTAATTTATAGATTAGAAGCGAAGCAAAAAGATTGCCTGAGGACATATATAATGTCAGAGGCAGAATTAGGGATCCAAGTTAGGCTTCCTATAATTTTAGGACAGATTTTTTTCTTGTTTACTTACTGCTTCTGAAACTTTAGCTTTTAATTTCCTCATATAGATTAAAGACCCTCATATTTTCAGACTATAACACCATATTTTAGGATTAGATTTCAGACCTTTCCCCTCCTTTCCTCCTATTTCAATTTCCAACACTATTTCAATTTGCTTAATATTTTTAATAATGGTGCTACAGCTGATTGACAACAGGTTCAAGTTTGAATATACACTGATCCCTATTTTTCTTAAGTCTTCTTTTTAACTAAAATCAAGCTTCCAGTTAAATCACCAACAAATGTACATTCAGTGCAAGGAATAACATTCTTTGAATCATGAACTCTTGACACTAAATGATAAGCAAGCTGAAGATAAAGAGAAAAGCAACCTGCACTTCCTCCATTTCCAGCTAAACTTTTTTTCACATAGCCTTTTGTACCTCCAAATGTACCTTCCCACTGCTTTTTATATCCATTCATGTTTTTGCAGTCAAATTCAGTGCAATGAATAACAATAAAAACACTGTTCTTGTAAAATTCCCAGTCCAAGAGAAGGTTCTGCTCCTATAATATTTTCAGTTTGCTTTAACGATTCAAAGCTTAGCTAGACTGGACTAGATGACCTCCAGAGGTCACTTCCATCCTCAACCATTCTGTGATCAGGTATGGGTAGAGTCTATACAGAAATCTCTAGGGACTACAGATAGCTCCCCTCACCCTTCAAAGCTGAAGTCTCAGGTATACCCAGTTGCTCGCTGAACTCCAGTCCACTCTGGTGGCTTAGCTCAGACCACCTGTATTTTAAAACTTCTAAGAACTTGGAAAAAAAAAAAAATTCACTTACTGCTATATCAGGATCCAAAGAGAAAAGATTTAGTCGCTCTGTATTTCGAGAGGCTTTCACTGTTTCTTCTGTTTCTGTGATGTACTGTTGTGACAGATAATAAATTAGTTTTCTGCACAAGAACAGAAATCCATAGAGTTGTTAGACTTCTAAATGTATGATCAATGTTTCACTTGTAACAACACTTCTCATTTCTGCAGTAGTTATCCCAAAGCACCTTCAAGCACTCTTTGAAGGTTATATGCTTGTGAAGCCGGGATTTTCAGGCCATGTTATACTTCTAAGGCACCCCAAAATAGATCAATTAAGTAATTCAAGTTCGTGTATGTTACTAAAGAATCCATTGTGTAAGATGTCAGAACGGTGGATCACTGCACTAAAATCACTTTAGGGATTCTTAAGTCGATGGGGGGGTGGGGGGGGAAAAACAGCCCCACAGAAAACCACTTGTGTCAGGGGGAGGGCAGAAAAGGGAGCAGAAAAGTGCAGCTCAGCCTCACAAGTGGGCAGACACACAGATTGCAGTGTGTCACCCAAAGGTAAGGCTGGGAGTCCTCTCCCCATCCATCCTTCTGCCACAAGGCAGGATCAGTCACACCCATTTTATTTGACGGACACATGCCTAAGTTAATAATAAGCTCTCTGATAAAACCAACTCAACAACTTCCTGAAGCCACCTGGTGCTTTCCTACCCTGCCTTTTAAAAGTTTATCCTTATGTCTAACCGGTAATTTTTCCCCCACTATTTAAGCCCATTCATCCAACATGTGAAGTACGCCCTACACATTCCCTTCCCCTTATAGATCCCTCATGATATCTCCGAAACTTTTTTTCTCAGTCTAAACATGCTCAATTCCTTCAGTCTTCTTTGCACTTTGTTTTTCCTAACTTACCTTTATTTTTCAATCTCTGAACTATTAACGGAGTCGACAACTTTCCTGGTTGCCCAAGACTGAGTACAAACCTTAGCTGACATGGTACAGGCTATGCTCTTGTTCAGGTCCCATTCAACGTTTTGTGTTTTTCACAATAGCACGACACTGCTGACACACATTAAGTAACAAGCAGAAACAGTACAGCAAGACCAAGAGCTCTATGTTCACCTCCTAACATGCCCCACTCATGGGCTGACTTGCAGAAGCAGGTCCTGATGTGTCCCTGGTGTACCGGTTTAGGTAGAGAAGGGATCAGGAGGTTTACCGGCCACAGACTAGGGACAGGCCACAGATCACTGCTGCAGCCAGGCCTATAGAGCAAGGCTGGGGGGGAACAGGAATTAACCATACAAAGGGCAATACAAGCATCGCACAACATGCAGACCATCTATTTTAGCCTTGCAGGCCACCAGTGGTCTTTAAGATATCTTTAAGACACCTTTGAGATATCTGCACTAACTAAACCATTAGAAAGTATCCACAGATGAGATGATCAGATACTACTGTTGTCCTTAATACATAAACTCAGTTACATTTTATTGGTTAATTGGTTGTTTTGTTTTCATTTTGGGTTTGTTGTTTTTTTAAATTCTAGGTGACCACGTCATATATATATGAATACAACGTACAGTAAAATGTAGCCCAAATTCTGTCCTCATTTGCATATACAGCTTTCAGTTCAAATCTGTGGGAGTAACATCCTCAAATAGCATTTGGCTGTGTAGATAGATAATATCTATAGTAGCTCTCTGACAGAAGATTACAAACAGATCATATATTCATTTAAGAAAAAGCAGTGAAATATTTCCAATCTAGCTTTTCATCAAAAAGCTTCTTAGTACCATCTACAATTATCTCATCCACAGGAGCAGTTTATGAGATCCAGACGACAAAACACCTCCCCTGATACTACGTGCATCTTTCAATGAAATTACAGAAGGCAATGAGTAGTTCACAGCTTGTTTCCTTGCAACTCACACAGGAAATCTCGGCTCTCCAGGGGCCAAACTCTTCTGAAATGCAGTTAAAAAGAGTAAATATTTCACAGATAACTTCAGGGACCAGATCCTTACTGACTTCACAGGTCTAAATCAAACCACTCTAGGGAGCACCTGCTTTCTTTACATCCAATGGAGCTTTTCTCATTTAAACAAAGCCATCAGCTGTTCAGAAAGAAAATTATTCCTGTCATTTGCATGGCTCTAACAATCACAACGGGCTGTGCTATAATTTCAAACCTTTCACAGTATTAATAATCATCTATTGGCAGGCATTTTTCACCTAGGTAACACTTTCTACTAAGCTTGTAAAGCTAAATATAACATGCATTACTTTTGCGAAGTCTGGGTGCAAGGTGTTCTCTGAAGAATCATTCTCTTCTTGAGAGCAATCGTAACTCACTGAAACTTCTGCAGGGTCTTGAAAAGAAAAAAAAAAAATGCAAATGTTTTTATTATACTTGCTATTACCATTGGGTTTTTTTTAAAAAAAAAAAAAGAAAATTTACCCCCATGCTATTCCTTTTTATTCCCTTTAGTATCATCAGACTAACAACTGGAAGAGATACTAATGTAAACCTCTGTCCTCCTCAACCTCATCTGCCACTGGTGCTTACTGTAACTTTGTCTATACTTAAGCTTTCAAACAAGAGGGCTGACTCTACTCAGTGAAACGTCCAATACATTCATCCATGACCAATATTCATGCCCACAACAAAGACACCTACCTTTGCTCTCTTGGTCCCTTCTGAGGCAACACCGAGGGTTTATGTCAACCGAAAGATTTTGAACTCCCTGTAAAGGGAGTCTTCAGTGAGGCAGGCAGGACCTTACCTGCTCTTTGGGAAGGGGAGGGATGCAGTCTGGACTCGATGAGCTGTAAGTCTATGGATCCAGAGGACAGCACTGAACAGCAACCCCTTTGCTTTACTTAGCTCACCAGGGACCATTTTCTGCTTTCACTAGGTAATTCAGCCCAATGTGAAATAAGTCATTACAGCCATTTTTGCTCTTCTGCCAAGAAAGCATCATGCCTTTTGACAAGTTAACTCCATAGCACATTCCTGTTGCTTGTTATCAGGGTTTTTACCAGTAGAGACTTCTGTTTTCTGTTAGCCTTAGGTCTTTGACCTTTTATGCACGTATTTCTTCCTGTTTCATTAATATCCCTTATGGGTTGGATTTTCAAAAGTACTTCTCTGATTCTGAAGTGCAAGTCTCTTGTGCTCCAAATTATAAAAACCTCTTTGGCTATATGAAGAGTAGCCTGTCCCTCCAGAATCAGAATTTATTATAAACACCAGGCTAAAGCCTTCAATTAGCTCTGAACTTCCCCAAGATTCAGATGCACGTGGATTCAAAACTTTCATTCAGCTCAGAGCACAAGCAGTTCAAATTTGTATTAAGATTTCAAGCGTTTTTAGTCTTAGAACTGGGGTTCATCCAAACTGAACGTGGATTTATTATGTGGAGGAATGAGTTACTGCCACATGAAGAGTGCAGTATAACAGAGCATCCAATTCTTTCTTCCACAGTGAAAGCATATTAATACGCAAACTCACAAAAGCAAGAAATGAAAAGTCAATAAGCTTCCAGGGAAAGAAAAAGATTTTTTTTAATTATTAGCTCCAGATTTTTAAAGAAAACAAAACACTGGAAAAAGAACTGATCTAACCTCTCTCCAGCACAAAACTCTTCAAAACCTTCAGACTCCCAAGACTGTAAAACACAAAGTACTAGCAAGATCATTGACAGAGAGGACTATATTTGAAAAAGAGCTGTATATGCAAAGCAGAGCCACGTTGCTCCTGCTGACTTTGTGGGGAGCAGCTTTATCTCCCCCCCAGCCTTTTGAAAATGATCTGTGGGGAGTTAGCTGACATTGTTCAGGGATTGCCAAAAGACCGGTGCTGCTTCATCAGAAATCAATAGGTGCAGAATCCATTACAAACTCAGGCAGTTAAAATGATTCAATAGTGATATCTGAAGGTTCAATTTTTTGCATTTGATTGAAAAAAACCCAACGCAAGTGACTATTCACTCTTACCAAGTTTCAGATCAGTGAGATCTGCACTTTTCCTCTCCTGAATGGTTCCCTCTGGATTTATTTGCAGGATTTTGTTGAGAGTGAAAATCCAGTCATCCATATCCTGCTCATTTTCAGCTGCCAGCACAAAGTATGTGAGGTCATTCATTTTCAACTCAAAGGCATGTTTCCTAAGTCTGTTATTCTGTTGGAACAAAAGGAAAAGAAAAATAAACACTAGAACTAATTATAAAAAAGTATTGAAAAAGGCATCCATAAGATGGACTTGTATATGGCCACTCCGTAAAAATAACACTCAAGCAAAATTCAGTGGCTTTAAAGAAAATCAAAGTAGTGTGATATTAATGCAAATTTATGTCAATTTATTTTTCGGTCTTTGTGCATCTAAGATCTTCTATGGCCAAATATACAACTTTCTATTTAGCCGTAGAAATCTAAGACTACGGACAATAACACTTCAAATAACAGTAGGGAATACCTCCCAAGTGGAATAATGAAAGACCTCTGATGGCGAAGTACAGCATTGCTACATGAGTCGTAGTTGTCTGGAGAGAACACCTCTCAAGCGCAAGTCTCCTACACCCTACACTCAGACGCTCAAAAAGATACTAAGTAGTGCTAAGTCATACAAATATTTGCTCAGTGGGAACAGGACTGAGTTCACAGAATTCAAACCAGCAAGCAAGCAAAGTCAGCACGTGGTCAAAGACTATTCCAACCCTGACTGCTGAGGGTGGACCTGAATAGGTCAAAGCTAATTGTGAACCATTTATAAAATCTTCTGTTTCGAGATATTTACAGATGCTGCTAATAAGCTACATAAAGGTAACAATTTCTGAGCATCTAATGAAGTTAGAAACATTGTGATTAGGATGAGAACATTTCTACATAATTTTATTCTTTTTATATGTTTCTGAAAGAGCTTCTGGATGATATCAGTCTAAACTTGGAACAGAGATTAACCAGTAAATCCCTCTAGAAGATTTCAACAGGACAACTTCCTCCACGTGAAAATATTACAATGGGTGCTTCCCACTGCTGCCTTTGTGTTAGAATGATTTTAAAAACAACTAAGGCGATTTCAACAACTCTTTGCAGGAGGCAAAAGGTGAGGTTATAGTGCTGTTCAGTCATTGCAATGCTATCCTTTTCAAGTATAGAATAAGAACCAATGCCCAGTATCCTGGCAACAGATTGATTTCTGAGATCTGTTCTGTATCACCAGATTTTACCTGCAGTAGATGGTTAATCCGTCAATTCCTGTCATAAGAATTAACAAGTGCTTAGTTACTGAAACAGCTCAATAAAATTAAACAAAGTGATGTGATCTAATATAATGTGCTTCATTCCTCAAATTTATCAAATTAGTGAGGCTTTTATCTCTTAGTCTTATGGAAGCAGTTGCATCAATTGTCTCTCCTCCTTGCTTAAATCTGAAAGAACACTGACGTGTTCTACCCCTTATTACTTCATCAAAATTTTACAACCATTGACTATGGACATCAATGCCACCGTTTTGTTTTCAATATGCCAGAAAATTGACATCACTTTGTTGACACATCTAACCTTGGAGTGATGCTGACAAATGAAAAACAATGAATCCACCCCATAACTGGCCATTTCACTCAATTTTATTTTTCTTCATTAACAGTCTCAAATAACATGACAATGGTATCCTGTAGTTCTATATACTATAACTATTTCTCAGTACAGTCCTATATCAATAAGTTACTAAGAATAGCTTCTAAACCAGTCAGTGAGATCATAGTGATATTTTTATTTAAGAGGAACAGAGGCAAAATCTGATACCGATTAGCAAAGGAGGAGACTGAGAACCCAAGACACCGAGAATAAAGTTCCATGAACATTTTTTTTTCCAACAGGAGAGATGATTTAGAAGATTCCTACCCAATCTGTTGTTAATCACTTGCTCCAGTCCTTACATTACATGTCATGACCCAGCTCAGGAATCAGTTAAGACTGAACAACTTCTTCTGGAGCTACTTGGGTCAACAGAGTCAGTCAAATCTTGGCTTTTCAAACTGACTTGGGATTGTGTGTCTGTGTATGTGTATGTGTGTATGTTATTTTTTAGTTCTGCTACTGGAAATTCTCTTGGTAGGAAATAATTTTCCTCTCAGGTACTTTATTGAGGTGAATATTCTTTCAGGGATATAAATTTTAGTTCACTCAACATAGGGTAAGAATAGGGTTGGGTTTTGTAAAAATTGGTTCTCAGGTGTCCAATATTTTTCTTGATCCTGAAATCACTCTAATCCTCCATCACTGCATACATTCAAATTAATGTAAAACAAGGACTAAATTTTCCCTGAAACCTATTTTTACTGATATAACATGAGGGCTTGACCAAGAGCTAGAAATTGAACAAAACTATGCCAAGAATCTTAGGTAGTGGCCATTCAAAACTTTTAAAGATAGATTATTTGTATAAGTGGATTATGTATACCAATTTATGCACAATCTATAAAGAAAAATGCTACGTTTCAATTTATCTTCAGAAAGCACAGAGTGCATTAAAATGAAGGCATTTCTTGCCTATATTATGTACTTCCCCTTACAGACACAGCCAAGATCTTTAAATCAGATACTGTAACACTATCAGACATTATCTAATAGAGCAATACATCTCGCATGCTGGATCTTAAGAACATTAGGGCAGGAAAACTTCAATATCCACTTTTCTGTCTGCACTTCAGACTTCTGGCAAGCAAATGAGATCTACAGCAAAGTCTTTGTTTCAAATCTAAAGCCAACTATTTTCTTCCTGATCAGTTAACAGGAAAAAAAAAAGTACCATTCTCAGTTTGCTTCTCTGAAAGTCCTTCCATATGGTATGTGGACTTTGAGGTTGACTTGTAATCTTCAACACTTAATTTCAAGTTTAAAATTTCTTCCAGAAGAAAATAATACAAGATTCAAAAAGAAACTATGGATGAGCTATAAATGAAACATCAGGCCAAGTTGAACGCCTGCAGGGTCGTTCTTCCAAAATAACAGAATTGTTCTGGAAGTATTTTGTATTTTATCTGGAGATGATTTCTCCAGGATGTTTACCACAATTTAGATATTCAACCTCTATCAAAGAGGAGCTCAAAGTCATTCATAGAGAGTTAAATGTTTTATAGTGGTATCAAAACTCATTAAATAAGAACTTTCACATCACAGTTTTCCTCTAAATCTTCAGTTTTACCCAACTCTTTCTCCACATTCTATGGTCTCCCTGTTTATGACAACTCTAAGCCAGGTTTTGTTTTTCAGCCCTATGATTCTAAATTCATCACAGACTTTGATAGCTGATGATGCTTGCCCTATTAGCCCCTTGGCTAAGACTCTCACTTCTTGCTAGTGAAGATAGCTCATAAATTTGTGCATCCCATTCTAAATGTCAATCAAAGAACCATCATGAAAACTAGTGTCTGGGGGTAGGCGAGAGGAGAACACACAGTTCAAAAGTTTGGGACAATGTGCAGGAACACTGTAGATTTAGAAGGCAGCTGTCAGAGTTCAGGAGAAGGATTTCAAAGGTTTCTTGAGCTTTTTTGTCAGAGGTTAGTCAAAAAGGGCAGAAATCTTGTAGTCAAGACATTTCTGCTATCATGGAGTGTCATCAGAAACAACACAGCAGAACAGGCACCCTCTGGGATAGCATTAAATCTGTACCTAAAGCCACACTACAGGGACATTCAGGGCTTAACTAGAGCTCTGGCTGAGACCCATCTTAAAAGAAAAAACACTGCCAGCAAGCAGGAGCAAAGCAGCAATTTCTAAACAGGATTTCTGTAAAAGTATCTTCTCTATGGCTTCTGCCACACTTCCAAGCTACCTGTTAGGGTCTTTCAAGCCAATAGACTGACACAGACAAACATCATTGTCCTTCTACATGTTTATCTCCATCCTGTCCTACACATGTTTGAAAAAAGAACCACCCTTTTGAACTACACAGGGGAAACAGTCATTCCCTACAGAGCTGGGTACTTTCCTGGGTGCAGGAATGAGGTTCTGCAGGGGCCTGGCAGCAAATACTTGTTCCCAGAGTGAACTACTCACTGATTATCTTTCTTGCTCCAAAGGGCCTGTTTAGGGGTGAAGGAGAGACTTCCCAACCAACAAAAGCTTGTGTTTATCAGGGGCCCTTCCTTGCATTACCTGAAAGGTTTCTTTCAAAGCAACCCTCAAATCAGTCTGCATTAGCACTGTTACCAATCTTTACTGGTTAAGTAGCGAAGAATAAAGTATAGCTAAAAAAAAGAAATTTCCTTATTTAGTGACACATGGGGCTAGATCAACCACAGTAACATACTATTCAAGATAACATCTTGTTTAGAACGGAAAAAAGAAAAAAAAAAAAAGAAAAAAAAGAAAAAAGAAATACATTAATAGAATTAGAGGAAAGGCAGAGCAAGAGGGGGAAAAAAGCTAAGAACTCAATCTTAGAGGGAACAAAAAAAAAGAGGTGGTGTCAGACATTTCTGGCTATTTATTTTTCGAAGCCACAATAAACAATAAGGCTCTGTCCTACCTGCTGCCATTAAGACTCTCTATCACCTCCAAAAGTGATGATCTTCAAGGAGGCTCAGGATACAGGATTAATTTACCACTTGCCCAACAGCTGATGCTTTGTAACCTGAGCCTCTTTAACCCACAACAAGCAAGGATGCTCTTAGTAAGCATGAGGTAAAATCTGGCAGCTAAGAAAATTAATTTCAGTGAAAAGAAACATTTTATGATTTTTTTTTCTCATGTGTGCCATGGGCAAAGAGCATATGCATGATCTGCTACCATAATTCAACTGTGGTTTTTGTAACCTGTTGGTCTGAGCACTTGCACCAATTTAAAGAGCAAAACTAATGGTGTTTTCATTTCATGAAACTGCTAATGAGACCACCATTCCATTAATGTATGTGTTCTTCTACTTGCCTTTTATAAATTTATCTGACATCCAAACAATAAATGAAATAAATTGAAACTTACCTGTACAACTCCTGTACAAGAATCCAAGAAAATACATCCCTTTGGCTCCTTTGATATTTTTTCATCTTTATAAAAATTCATAATATATGAGTTATCCGACAACTGTGTCAGCTGGAAGTAGCGCTTTTTGAATGACTGAAGTGGGGAAGAAAAAAAAAAAAAGAATGACAATTGTTGTAGTGCAAATTATTTTCACTGATATTTTATTCACAGGGTTTAAAGAGTAGGCAACTCCTAACTGCACTTCAGTTGCACTATTTTGTGGACAACTGCAATATTACTTTACTGTCATTGAAAGCAATGTAATCACACCTGAGATATGAACAGCTAAATGACAACGGCAAACAAGTGTGCCTCTGTGGGAGATCTAAATCCAAATAGAATAAAGAAAGAATAATGCTGTCCCCTTACCCGGACAGTAATGCTATTGTTTACAGTGCTGTTGAAATTCCCTTTATAAAGCCATCCAGACTTGTAAACTCCTGCTGCTAGTCCTCCTCCTCCACCACCACCACCACCTTTTGAAGATGAGTGGGATGTTGTATCCTGTATGAAAGACATGATTAGTATTACATGGACTTGCCTTTTGAATTCTAGGATGAAAGAAAACTGTAATGTGTAAATACCTGCTTGACAACGAATAATCATCCTTTCATTCCTTTTAAAATAAGACGTTACTAATATGCCTGCTGTGCACATGATGACATCAGAGACAAAACTGTTCCACTAATTTCAGAGTTATTTAAAATATGAAATATTTTATAGGAGATAATGAGCCTCCATTATTAGTCTTTATTTGATATTAAAGCAATAAACAACTCTTCCCCAGGGGAAAAAAACCCACCAAAACCAGAATACATACTTCATCCTTATCCACATCTTCATGATCGATTTCAAAGGAATGTGATGGCAGTTTCTCTGGTCTACATTCATTTCTGGGAGGGAAGGAAAAATGTCTTTAATTTTTTCTTTTTTTTTAAATATCATGTACCTGCTATTTCAGGGAGGCAACCATCCCGAGCCCCCAAGGCACCTTCAGTACACCTATTGCTGTGATCCTATTACCTCCTTTAAAAATCACTACAGTTTCAAAATACAGCTTTTTTCTTAAGCCCCACATATATTTTTTTTTTCCCAACACTATGAAGTTGCAACAGTTCTATACAAATGATGAAATACCACTTCTTGTTCTCTTCACTGCTCTTCCACCACAACATGCAACAAAACCCAAACAATTTCCAAAGAGATATCCCATTTAAGGCTGCCAAATGAATGAGAATGAACGCTGTAATAGCTTTTTCTAACCAAGACGAACATTAGAACATTCGGCTTAAAGCTTCCACATTTCTTCAATATTTCAAGATTTTTTTTACTATTCAATATGATGAGCACAGCCTTAAAGTAATTTTTAAAAATACACAGATGTCTCTTTGATGTGGTGCCACTCAAGATCTTCATATTGCGGACTTAAAACCAAAACTGAATATGAAAAAGCAAAGCACTTAAGCACTGCTTAATTTTAAGCACATAAGTAACTGTATTTAGACCCAGAGTACTTTGCATGTTGCAGAATTAAATCTTAAGTAACAGCCAAATACACATGATAAAAATTCAAAGATATTTTTAAATTGAGAAAAAACAGATTTTTCTGTGGCCTGAGAAATACCAACATTGTTTTCAAATTCCTGAAGATTGCAAATCTCATCTTGGAAATCTTCAGTTATCATATGAAAACCTACAGAAGTTGTCATGCTAAAAGCCATCATTTATCAGGAAGACCGACTTTTTCAGAACTTACTTTCATCTACCCAGCCTGAAAGCGGGAACAGAGCAACGCTATTGTCTATCACGCAAGGAAGCAAATCTAAACAGAAGTTGAGAAACCACACACTCATAAGCTAGTTTCCTCTCTCAACTTAGCGAACTTTAGCCCACGCTAGCACATAATGTTAAATGTCACTAATTTAAAAAAAAAAGTGGTAACTTTGACCCTTTCCATTTTCTATTCATTCATGCACAAGTTACAGATTAGGAAGATTAGAGTAATGACCAATACCTATCTCCTCTTCACTTTCCCCATTTCAAAGTCAGTGTTCTCATGACGTGACCACCCCGCCGCAACCGAAGTCAGCGTTTCAGCAGAGCCAGAAGAACCAAGTGCACACAGAACACAGGAGTCTTTTATTCTCTGTTTCATTTTGTTCTAGTTTTGGTGTTTATTTAATGTAAGCAACTGATCAATATTTTGAATAAAAGGAATATTTGCAATCTATTGACATCTTTGACATCCGTAAAAACGTTAATATTCAGAATATTTTTGATGGAAATCCACTGCAGGTTTTCCAATGCAACCAAGGGCAGCTGTTAAAATTACACAAACACTCCTTCCCACCCAAAAGAACCCCAAAACAAAAATCTCAAGCTAAATCCCACCTTTTACAAAGAACACCATTCAAGACTTCACATTTTTAGACAAGAATCCTATTGGCTTATTCATTATTCAGAACTAAAAGTGCACCGCAGTGCTCTTGGGGTGACGTGTAGCCAGACTGACCAATGCTCTCTGGCCACACATGGACACACACACATTTGCTTGAGGATCTGTACCAGTAACAGGACAAGTTAGTCAGCTACTGAAAAAACCACCAAAACAACCCCCCAACCTTAATGCCCTTGATGCTGGGGAAGGAAAGGAGGAGTCAGAAATCTGCTGGGTTAGCAGGGTGCTGACACCTCACCACACAACACAGCAACTCTGCCCCACTCTGCCGCTCCACGGTCAGAGAGTGAGCCTGTCCCATTAAACCACAGCCCTTCCACAAGCCTGGGTACATGGTAAGTTTCTTAGAAAGAAGGAAATCCTGCTGTCCTCTCAGCAGAGCTATAAAAAAGAAAAGGACAGACCACTACTGCGTTAGGTGTCAGATCTCACTGACCACCCATGAAACACTCATCCACTCAGACCTCTGTGTCATTCTCCATAGAAGTTTTTCCCTTCGTTGGATGGGAATCCTTTTGTGCATGCTCCTCATCATTCTAGGGCAGGCAGATAAAGCGTGGTAAGGACGTGATCCTGTTTGGTATACCCTCTTTTCCTCTGCCTACTGCGTCTTCAGACCCATATGAAGATGCAGAATTCCAAGGGACCAGATCTGAAATATCTACCAAATGTTCCAGGTTTTATATAAACGACAGCAAAAACTTTGCTAATGACTATTTCTGTGCCCAGACACACTGTCACCACAGCATACACTAAGCTACCCCTGTTCTTCCTCCACCCTTCCACTTGCTCAAGAAGCAAGAACACACCAGCACAAAGCATAAAAAATGGTGTAAAAAGGGGTAGTGAGAGCTCACAGGGAGGAATTTAAGGGGTAGAAAGACCTGAGAAAAACCTCAAAGGAGGAACACACTCAGAGAAAAACTAAAGCAATTGCTAAACATTTTGGTCATGTTGTTGTGCACATGTCGTTGAGCTCTTCCCCAGTACCACAGCACTACTCCAGTGGAATTGCACCATGGACATGTTGAGTCCTCACTGCCTGCCCCAGGTAGTCAGCATCACATTGCAGCTGCTTCCAAATCAGAAAGGGTCAGTATTCAGAAGGAGTAACTTTGATATCTGATAAAAATCTGCTACACCAATCTGCAGCCATTACTTGACATGTTGTATGACTGTGTGAAACAGCACAGCATGGCCTCACATACAAACAAGTATGAGGTCCTTCAGCATTGCTGAAGGCTGCTGAGTCCCAGTTTGTGTGTTTCTAAATGGGAAAGCCCACAGAAAGGTTCAGCACACCCTCAGTGAATGGAAGTACTTTAGCCACAGTTAGATCTGGTATTGTAAATGATGTTCCTTTCTCATGATGCAAAGCTTAACACTCATCCAATCTTCCCTGATACAATGATTTCCCACAGGAAATTGATACAACACACTCAGATTTCAGATAGTGCGACAGCAGTTTTGCACAAATGAAACACAAAACTGTGGAAACTGGGCATCCAGAGCTATCAACAGTGAGATACAATACTACAACAAGGATATACGAAGCCACTTTATTTTTAATGAGGAGATTTAGTCTAAAACACTGAACTTTGTAACATGCATGTGCAAATCAAGGTCCATTGATGTTGAAGAGGCTGGAAATGGTATGAAATGAGGCGGACTCCAAACCAGCTCTGTTTAAGGTATGTTAAGCTCAAAAGCCATGGCAACTTTCAGCAAACAAAATACAGACACTCCTGCTATAACTTTGCTTCTGAAATATCAACCAGTGCTGCATCCAAACCATTCCTGAGTGCTATGTTCCGATACAAGACAAAACAAGATCTCTTGTTTTGTTATAATCCTCTATGCAAGGGAGGAAAAAAGTAAGATGTGAGACACCATAATATCCCTGGAGCATGAACTCAACGAAAGCAAATCATATTAAGTACCACAACCAGGAAGTCTAGATGTTCTTCAAGAAGGAAGTCTTAAAGGCGCAGGAGCAGGCTGCCCCCATGTGCAGTAAGAATAACGGACGGGGAAGACAACCGGCCTGGCTGAACAGGGAGCTCTTACTGGGACTCAGGAAAAAAACGAGAGTTTA